CCTGCAGCACTACATCTTCCTGGCAGGCGCCATGGGGCTCTTTATATGAAGCGCCTCAAAACACCTTTTCGTTTCCCTTGCCTTGTGTATGACCTTTGTGTTTTGATTGATACCAGGTGCACCAGCAGCCGTGCCACATAGTGTACACGGACTACCGCCCCACGCCCCTGCAGCACTACATCTTCCTGGCAGGCGCCATGGGGCTCTTTATATGAAGCGCCTCAAAACACCTTTTCGTTTCCCTTGCCTTGTGTATGACCTTTGTGTTTTGATTGATACCAGGTGCACCAGCAGCCGTGCCACATAGTGTACACGGACTACCGCCCCACGCCCCTGCAGCACTACATCTTCCTGGCAGGCGCCATGGGGCTCTTTATATGAAGCGCCTCAAAACACCTTTTCGTTTCCCTTGCCTTGTGTATGACCTTTGTGTTTTGATTGATACCAGGTGCACCAGCAGCCGTGCCACATCGTGTACACGGACTACCGCCCCACGCCCCTGCAGCACTACATCTTCCTGGCAGGCGCCATGGGGCTCTTTATATGAAGCGCCTCAAAACACCTTTTCGTTTCCCTTGCCTTGTGTATGACCTTTGTGTTTTGATTGATACCAGGTGCACCAGCAGCCGTGCCACATCGTGTACACGGACTACCGCCCCACGCCCCTGCAGCACTACATCTTCCTGGCAGGCGCCATGGGGCTCTTTATATGAAGCGCCTCAAAACACCTTTTCGTTTCCCTTGCCTTGTGTATGACCTTTGTGTTTTGATTGATACCAGGTGCACCAGCAGCCGTGCCACATAGTGTACACGGACTACTGCCCCACGCCCCTGCAGCACTACATCTTCCTGGCAGGCGCCATGGGGCTCTTTATATGAAGCGCCTCAAAACACCTTTTCGTTTCCCTTGCCTTGTGTATGACCTTTGTGTTTTGATTGATACCAGGTGCACCAGCAGCCGTGCCACATAGTGTACACGGACTACCGCCCCACGCCCCTGCAGCACTACATCTTCCTGGCAGGCGCCATGGGGCTCTTTATATGAAGCGCCTCAAAACACCTTTTCGTTTCCCTTGCCTTGTGTATGACCTTTGTGTTTTGATTGATACCAGGTGCACCAGCAGCCGTGCCACATAGTGTACACGGACTACCGCCCCACGCCCCTGCAGCACTACATCTTCCTGGCAGGCGCCATGGGGCTCTTTATATGAAGCGCCTCAAAACACCTTTTCGTTTCCCTTGCCTTGTGTATGACCTTTGTGTTTTGATTGATACCAGGTGCACCAGCAGCCGTGCCACATAGTGTACACCGGTAGAGCGCGGAGGATTCGAACGGGGGGGGCAGGGCTGGTAGAGCGCAAAGGATTTGAAGGGGGGGGGGGGGGTGCTGGGCTGGTAGAGCGCGGGGGATTCGAGGGGGGGGCTGGGCTGGTAGAGCGCGGAGGATTCGAGAGGGGGGCTGGGCTGGGGAGAGGGGAAGAGAGGGGGCTTGGTGTCAGACGAAAATATACGCGCAGTCTGAAATTACAGACGAAGTATAACGATTGCTCTGAAAATTCAGATGAACTAAAATTCGTTGTCTTACTGATCAGACGAAATAAAATTCACTGTCTTAAAAATCAGATGAAAACAAAATTGGTCTGAAAATCAGACCATCAGAACGATTTGGTCTGATAACGAGAGCGTGCATTGCACAGGGATTGGGCTTTGAGCATTTTGGTGGAATATCCCAGCGGAAACGGGTCGTCAAGCCTGACGACCTGTTGACGACCTGACGACATGCTGCCCCGGGCAGAAAAAAACTAAAACCCTATCGGATGGCATGCCATCCGAGGGAGGCATCAACCCCAAATCCATGCCTCCCCGTGTTTAGGGTTGATGCCTCCCTGACCGGATGCATGCCCGAATGGGTTTGATTTTTTTTGCCCGCGGGCAGCGAGCTCCCCCGGGCGGACTCGCTTGTCCGCTGAGATATATCAACTGGATGTTCTCAAACGCGTGTCATGTCACGTAGATAATGTACGTTTCTGCCCTGAAAGCGATGAAGCTTTTAGCGCGAAGCGTTTTGAACTTGGGCGCGAACAGCCGAACCGCGTGCGACAGAGATGCCTGACAGAGGTGATGGATATTGAATTTCTGATGGAATTTTCCTCCAAACCACTTGCGCGGGCAGGGCAGATTGTTGGAAGTCATCGCCAGCGAATTACTTCATTGTTCACCTGCTAAGTGTCTGTGTTCCTCGTTTGTTACATTCACTGCTTCTTTGTTTGTTTTATTCACTGCTTTTCACTATGTTTCCCCTCTTGTGGTTTGGATGGGACAATAGCCCTTACGTTTACCAGCAGGAACACCAGCCTAGAGAACTCCATTCTTCAGGCAGTCTCGCTGGACTGATGAATGGATTACGGCACTGACAATCCCACCAAATTCAGTCACCCACCAATCCCACCAATGAGTCTACCAGAAATAGATTAGGTGATGGAAGTTCTTTCAGACCTTCAGTGAATGTCTTTGTCAGGCCTTGACATCTGGTTCGTGACCTAGTGCGAGGAGGGATTCAGTTTACCTAGCTTAGGAATTTGACGTTCAGGATAAGGTAGGAGAAGGCGCTGAGTACGGAACTATCTGTTGAGTAGGACGCGGACATACCATAGTCAAGGTGCTGTACTTACCTTATACGCTTAACTCCTAGCTCCTCGCCAGCTACTTCCTTCTCTCGAGGAAGCAAAGGCTTTTTAGGCTCTTCAACTTCTTCTAGCATTGACATATCCACTAGAACGTCTCTCAACTTCCTAACCTGAAACCGGCTTCCGCTGACTTATTCATAACATATAACGTCTCTAAGGGTTACGCTTATCCAATGGCTGAAGCGATTTCTGTCGCGATTCGTTTTAGGCCTCTAAGCGATGTCGAGCGATCCGATGGCACACCGTGGTCCGTCCAAGGGGACAAGATTCAGTTGGCCGATAGCAGGGGGAACGTCGCTGCGGAATACGCTTTTGGTGGGTCGCTCGTCAGTTCAACGTCTTTAAAAACGCGCATGATCAGGGAGCTTTCCTGTTCTCTACCTGCCGTTCATGACTTGCACGACCATCTTTCTTCAGTACTTCTGTGAAGAAGTTATTCATTATTTGTAGCAACTAGATTTCGTTCCTGATAAAATTCGTCTGAGCTGTTGCAGATCATGTGTTCGATGGAAGCGCGACGTCGGAGGACGTATTTCAGAGCCGAGCGTGCGAAATTGCCAAAGCTGTTGTCGATGGCTTCAACGGTCAGTGAAGGAAACAAACTAACCGAAAATACGTTCTTCTGGCCTTCAGACTGATCAAACTGTGTCTGACTAATTCTCTCGACCTCTGATTTTCACGGTCTTCCTGATAGCGTTCTGACTTCTTCTTTTTGGACTCGCCAGGGACTATTTTTGCCTACGGTCAGACGAGCAGCGGCAAGACGTTCACCATGAGAGGCGTGCCTGCGTGCGAAGGCGTCATCCCGCTGTCCGTCCGTCAGGTCTTCGACACCATCTCGCAGGTACCAACTATTCGACCTCTACCACTAGAGACAGGCTTTCCTAGTTTAAGCAAAGCTCGTTTTGACTCATACTGTTCCGGTCGCGACCGTCCGTCAGATCTTCGACGGCATCTCGCAGTACCAACTTTGAAATTCGATTTTACGACAAAGAGATAGCATTGCCCTGTACCACTTTTGAAACTCTCAAACCTGTCTTTTCATCTGGCAGACAATGAACCGGGAATTTCTCCTTCGAGTCTCGTACCTCGAAATTTATAACGAGGAGATCAACGACCTGCTGGCTCCCGACAACCGGCGGCTTCAGATTCACGAGAGCTCCGAGGTGCGAGGCGGCATGTGAGATTGCTAGGAAGCTTGAGATTGCGAGGAGGCTTGAGAATGCGAAGAAGCTTGAGAATGCGAAGAAGCTTGAGATTGCGAAGAAGCTTGAGATTGCGAAGAAGCTTGAGATTGCGAGGCGTCGAAGTTGCTGTCAACGCTCAGACGTTTCGCATAGTTTAAAGAACGTGAATATGGCTTGGTGACGTGAATATGGCCTGCTTATTACGTCTTGTCTGAGACGCTATCCGTTATTGAAACGTGCTCCGCTCACATAGTATCCTGCCATGCCTCATTTCGCGTGCATGCAGAGAGGCGTTTTCGTGGCTGGGCTCCACGAGGAGATCGTCATGTGTCCGGACCAAGTGCTGCAGCTGCTCAGCGTCGGAGAGAGTAAGATTTCCCGTTAAACACACCTCCGTTGCTGTTTTCTGTGGTTCAATTTTACGGTCTCCATGAGGAGATCGTCATGTGTCCGGACCAAGTGCTGCAGCTCCTCAGCGTCGGCGAGAGTAAATATTTCCCTTTACAACCCACTTCCGAGTTCTTGGTCTCAACGAAGCGATCGCCATGTGTCCAGACCAAATGCTTCAGCTAATCAGCGCCGGGGAAAGTACGAATTTCATTGTAACCCAGCTGCATTGTTGCTGTTCCGTTGTTCGATTTGAGTTCAAGGCTCAAGCATGACCATTGCGTCCACGCAAAGGTCTCAACGCGGAGGTTGTCATGTGTCCGGACCACGTGTTTCAGCTCCTCAGCGTCAGGAGATTCCGAGTTTCCTTATCCAGCAGCGTTGTTGTTTTTTCGCAAGGTGCGGATGGTTTTCAGGGGCTACAGTTGCGGATGTGTTGATTCTGACGGCATGCGTGTGCATGTGCGTGTGCCACGTGCAGCGAATCGGTCCATTGGAGAGACGAAGATGAACGAGAAGAGTAGCCGCTCCCACGCCATCTTCCGTATGGTACGTTCCACACTCACCTCGCCATGACCGTCAAGCACTGAATCCTGGCACTCCTGGCACACTGCATCCGTGATTCTGTTCCTCTTATCCTGAACTGTAAAAATAGATGATGTAATGCTCGACTGCTATCGTCACTGCGTGCGAGTTGATTCGGCCAACTTGAATTGATCTCTGAGGTTGCCCATCCGGTATGCCTGTGTTCCCTTTGCGTGCTGCTCGCATGCAGGTGCTTGAAAGCAGGGAGATCCCCGAGGAGGGGGCTACAGAGGCTGAAAGTCCTGTTCTCGTCTCCAGTCTGGTGAGCGCCACTCGAGGTGTGGTGAGCGCCACTTGAGGTGTGGTGAGCGCCACTCGAGGTGTGGTGAGCGCCACTCGAGGTGTGGTGAGCGCCACTCGAGGTGTGGTGAGCGCCAGTCGAGGTGTGGTGAGCGCCAGTCAAGGTGTGGTGAGCGCCAGTCGAGGTGTGGTGAGCGCCAGTCGAGCCTTCTGTGCATGTGCTGTACTCGATTCGAGTCTGATGTGCTGTCACCACCGGAGCTCGATGTTCGTAGCGTGAGTGCATCGCTGTTAACCGAAACAAAAAAAGAACACCGAGGAAGGAAGCAAACTGTTGTCTGCGGAGTCGCAGCCAGCTGTTTACCCGATTCGCCTCTCTTATCCACTCTCTCTTTGCGGAGCCGCGGCCGGCGGGCCCCTTTCTCAAGTCTCTTTCTTATGCATGCGCCCCTCTTCTTCCCCTCATTCGCCACCCCCTCCACCGCAGAACCTGGTGGACCTTGCCGGGTCAGAGAGGGTGGCAAAGACGGGCGCGGAAGGGTCGCGGCTGAAGGAGGGGGCGCACATTAACAAGAGCCTGATGACTCTGGGGACGGTGATCAACAAGCTATCTGAAGGAGCGGATAGGAACGGGTGAGTGGTCTGCGAGAGATTCAGGGAGGTCTCTCGTCAGACCAGGTGAGATGAGGCCAGGAGAGACCAGTTCTGCAGCAAACCACATCATGCTGAAGAGGGAAGTTCTGAAGACGCTGGGGACGGTGATCAAGGCCTGGATAGGAGCGGGCGAGTGCGAAGCAAGGGATACAGGAATGTTGTTCGGCATAGCGCATGAGATGAGATGGGAGAGTATTGAAGCAGCAGGCCACAGCATGCGGACGGAGTGAGAAAGGAAAGGAGGACACATCAATAACAGACTGATGGTGCTGGGGGCGGTAATCAACAAGCTCAACAAAGGTGCGGTCCGTGGATAAGAACGGTTGTAAAATCAATGTGGCTCATTCAGGAATGGTGCTTGCCTTGTTGGGCAGAGAAAGAGGTCGACATGCTGGCCAGCACGTACCCTCTCAAGCGGCCTGTGGTGTCTAAGCAGTGCCTTCTTCTGCTCCTGCTGTTTTGACTTGACTGATGTGCTGCGGTGCTCCTTCTTGCGTCCTTGTTCATTGCAGAGCGCACATCCCGTACAGAGACAGCAAGCTGACGCGCATCCTGCAGCCAGCACTGGGAGGCAACACCAAGACGGCCATCATCTGCTGCGCCACTCCTGCTCTGGTAACACAGCCGAATCTCCATCACCTTGCTGTTGTATTGTGCCAAATAGCAAACCAAATGGACTCGCACAACTTCTACCATTGGCTTGCCGTTCTGCCTGCTCTCCTGACCCTTGCCGAATGTGGCCTGTTGAACTGTCTTACTGTCCGTTACAGAGGCATGAAGATGAAACGCATGGCACTCTTCGGTTCGCCCTCCGAGCAAAATGCATCACCAATTGTGCCAAGGTCAACGAGGTAATGCTTCTCCAGCTCAACTCACCAGTTGCTCATCCTTGAGACGTCTCAAAAGACCCTCTCCGCCCACCTTTTCTCCTTTTGACTGTCCTTATTGCTCTGGTTGCCTGGTCTCCCGGTTGCACTGCACATCGTGTCCAACAACGTGCTTCTCAAGAGGCAGGCGAAGGAGGTTGAGAGCCTTCGTGTTGTCCATGTGCTGTTTGTCTCTCACCTTGTTGACCATTGCTCCCATTGTATGCCATTGTTCCACTCCAGATCGTCACCAACAACTTGCTGCTCAAGAGGCAGGCGAAGAAGAATGAGAACCTTCCAGTTGGCCATGTGGTTGCTCGCCTTTACTCGCCTTGTCTGCCCTTGTTGCTCATATTCCACCACAGATCGTCACCAACAACGTGCTGCTCAAGCGCCAGGCGAAGGAGATCGAGGACCTGCGGCGCAAGCTGGAGGCGTCCCACTCGCCTGAGATGGAGCAGGAGATCATGAAACTGCGCAACGCCATGCTCAAGGTGAGTCAGTTACTTTCTGTCGGTTACTGTGCACTAATGCCACGTTAGTCTCTCTGAGCCAACATGCCTGAAGGGAGATTTTAACAAGCCGGAGGAGTCAAAGTTTACACTTTCCACATCCTATACTCTGTGCTGTATCTTGCTCAATTTTGTCCGTGATTGTCGCTCTCTCTTGCCCATTTCTGTCCCTGTTCGAAATTGTATCTTGCCCAGATGGAGTCAGAGAAGGAGGTGATGGCGCTGCAGCTGCAGGAGGAGGCGAGTGAAATGCAGGCTGGCAGGCAACGTTGACCCTGTACCCTGTCACTGTATCTTCCCCTGTTCTGTCCCTGTTTGTCTTTGCATCTGGCTCAGATGGAGTCGGAGAAGGAGGTGATAGCGCTACAGCTGCAGGAGGAGAGGGCGGCGCACTCACAGAAGGAGCAGCGCATCAAGGAGCAGGAGAGGAAGATTGAGAACCTCAGCACCCTCGTTATTAAGGCCGCTGCTGGGGACAGGCAGAACGACAGGCGGCCCAAGAAGGTGAGTCTTGAGCCGACTCAGCTGTCGCATCAAGGAGCAGGAGTGGAAGATAGAGAACCTCAGCACCCTCCTAATCAAGGCGGCCGCTGCCATGGACAGGCATAACGACTGGCGCCCAAAGAAAAACTAGATGTGGTGTCGTGCTTTTGGGTTCTTGGGCGGTAAACTAGATGTGGGGCTCGGGGCAGGTGAACCATGCAGGTGGGTTGCAGTGAGTGTCCTCGTACAAATTGGCTGAAATGCGTTGTCAACATGCGCTTACAAACTACATGTGCTTGAGTTGAATCTGCTGCTAACCAGGGCGTTGCTGTGGGCGGGCGTCTTGCAGGGCAATCGCAGGGAGTCGTGGTGTCCCAATGCTCGAGTGGAGAGCAGCCCAGCTGGAAACAAGGTGAGCTGCAGCTTGTGGTGAATTCTCCTCTGCCTCACTCCTGGCATATGGCATTGCCATGCTTCGATTCCACGGGCATCAGATGTCCTTTGAGTGTGGCATGGCTGTGCTGATTTTTCCCATCCCTGTTACACTTTTCTTTTCATGCATGCGCTGCTAGGTACTATAGCTTGCCTGGCTAGCGCCAGGCTGTGTGGTACTTCTTTAGCGCCTTGCTTTACTGCTGCTCCCCACTGGTGTTCCTCTGCAGGAGAACCAGCCTGGGGGGATCAAGCGCCTGGCATTCATGCGCCGTGCCATGTCCTTTAAAGAGGACGATGAGGAAGAGGAGGACGAGAAGGACGAGAAAGATGACAAGGATGAGAAGCCAGAGAAGGTTCAGGGGGTGAATGGGGCTGCGAGGAAGAGGCGGATCAGCAGCGTGCAGAAGCTGGCAGCTCTGTGGGAGACAAGTGGGCCCAAGGAGGTTAAGGAAGAGGAGGAGGATTCTGAGGGGTTTCAGGACGGCCAGGTGTTTCAAACTGAAGGGCGGTTTGGGTCTGGGGTCGCCCAGGATGAGAGTGCCCGTGATGGTTCGAAGAAGAGGCGGGCTGCACCGTGCTTTGGAGATAAAGAGAAAGAGGAGTCGTCGCCTGTGGCAAAGAAAGTGAGTTGATCACAATGAACCATGCTCGTTTCTCTGCAACGTATGGGCTTCATGACGGATTCGTGTTTCCCTTCTCGTGTTTCTCTCACTCCTCGCTTCCCCCCTCTTTCTTTTCTCCTCTTCCCTCCACTTCCCTTCGTTCCTGGTGCAGCCTTTGCGTGGTGTGACCATTAGCAGCACCCTGTCAGCACAATGGAGCGAAGGGCATGCAAAGCAGGTATGCACGCCCTCCCACACACACACCACCTCTTTTTCCCTCGCTGCCCACTTCCCCAGCTAACATAGAAGTACGCTCTTATAAAACATCTCATTTGTAAGCACTTCAGAAGTTGACCCCTCCCTGCTCTATTCTCTCTCTCCACCCTTTTCCCACCAGCTAGCAGAGAAGGACGCGCTTATAGCCCAGCTGCAAGGACAGGTAGCCACCCTGCAGACCAAGGCGGACGGAGGAGCAAGCACAGGAAGAAGCGCAGAAGGCGGAGTGGCGGTTACAAACTCAGAAGATGGAGCTGGCCGTGGTGCAGGGACGAGGGGGGAGGAGAAGGATCAGGAGGAGTTGGCTGCAGGGGCGGGCCAGGAGAGACGGTCAAAGAGCATGGGCACCCCCGCTATGCTGGCGCACGGGCTTCAGGCTAAGGTGGCGGCTCTGGAGATGGAGAAGGCGTGCATGCAGAGGGAGCTGGACTACGTGACACAGCAGGCCAAGTCACAGGCGAGGGAGCAGGCGGAGGAGCAGGCGAGCAGCATACAGAAGCAACAGCAGGTGAGAAGCGCCCGGGGTCAGTTTCTCTCACTTGCTTAAGCCCGCTAGGCTGCAGTTTCCTGCTATTGCTAAGTGTGGTGTACTGTGTTTTCAATGCTTGTTACGTTCTTTTCACTTCTGTCGACTTTTTGTTCTTTCCATTATTTTTTTCCTGTGGGCCTGGCATCATGGGAGCAGCTTCAGGAGGAGCTCGAGGATTGCAAACGGCAGTTAGAGGAGGCACAAGCAGCTGCCACGGCAGACGCTCCGCCCTGCGACAACTGCAGCGCACTCAAGGAAGCTCTGGAATCAGCCAATTCCCAGCTTTACGAAACGGAGCATTTGCTACAGGAAGCCACCGCTGAAGCAGCTCAAGCAAGATCCGGGCCAGCAGGAGCAGCGGGACAGCTGCTGGCGAAGCAGAGGGAGCTGGAGGGGGCTGTGTGGGAGGCGTCTCAGCTTAAGAGGCGCGTGGAGGAGCTAGAAGCGAATGTGATTGCAGTGGAGGGAGTGTTGCTGGAGGTGAGCGGGGAGAAGGACAGCTTGGAGGAGGAGGTGGGCCAGTTGAAAGCACTGCTGGCGGAAGGGAGGGCTGGGGAAGGTGGGGATGATGCGACTGGGAAGGAATGTGATGTGAGGGGACTGGAGGAGATGGAGAGGTTGAGGGAGGTGGTGGAGCAGAGGGAGAGGGAGCTGACGTCCACCCATGACGCTGTGAGGAGGCTTCATGTGGATGTTTCCCAGGCTCTAGGGGAGAGCCTACCTGCTCCTGCCTCTACTCCTTCCAGCAATGGCAGCAGTCTAGCTGGGAGGGCAGTGGTGGGCGAGATGAGGGACCTGTGCGTGGCTGTTGCGCGGGTGATCTCGGCCTTAGACACTGCCAGGAGTGAGACTGAGGAGTTAAATCTGCAGCTGAAGCAGGCGGGGGAGAGGGAGGCGGAGAGCGAGAGGAAGCTAGCAGAGGCTGCAGCTGCAGCTGAGAGCGCCAGGCAGCTGGCCCAGGTTCAGTCGCAGGGGAAGGGAGGAGAGGAGGAGGCAGCAGTGGTAACCAGGCTGCAAGCGGAGCTGGAGGAAGCAGGGAGGGAGTTAGAAAGAGCGGTGGCTGCTCGGGATACGATAGAGCTGAACCTGCTGACTGCTAGGCGGGAGGCAGATGCGAGGGCTGCAGAGAGTGCGAGGCAGGTGGGGGTGCTAGAGGAGAAGGTGAGGGTGCTGGAAAGGGAGGTTGAGCAGGAGAGGGAGGAGAGGAGGACGTGGGAGGAGCGGGCGGGGGAGAGAGAGGGGGAGGTGCGGAGGGCGGTGGGGGAGACAAGGGAGGCGGAGGGGAGGCTGGAGGGAGTGAGAAGGGAGGTGGAGGAGATAAGTGCGAGGGTGGTGGAGAAAGAGAGGGAGCTGGCTGCTGTACAGGAGGAACTCAAGGTGGTGCTGAAAGAAAAGGTGCGTACATCTGCTTCAGGAAAGACAGCAATTTTTGGTTCAGCTAAACTGAATCTAGCGTAATTTGAATTATGACCTTTCCTTCATTCCTCCCCCTCGTTCTCTTCCATCTCTCAGTTCTCCCATCCACGAATTTCCCCTCCACTGTGTTAACACCACTGCTTCCCCCTCCCCTGCTTCTCCCTTCCGTCTTGCTCTTAAAGGTGTAAAAACGAATACGATTTCGAATACGGTTTTTTATACGAATATTTTACGAATAGTAGGCAATTTCGTATTTGGCCGAATAGCCCTCTTCTACCGAATCCGAAAACGGTTCAAATAGCTGGGTCACGAATACAGTTCGAATACCTGGATCTGTGTCAAATACGAATACGAATACGGTTTTTACCATACACAGAACCTTGGGCCAGGGTTCTTAATAGGCCGTAAGCACCGCCAGTGCTTCCATTGCTGATGATATGAGTGAAACATAAGAAACGCACCTTCAGAAATCTAGGAGCATACCGATTGAAATAGTCGAATACTTATACGAATATCCGAATATTCGGCTGGCGAATACCGAATATGTCGAATAGTCAGTTATCGAATAAAAGTCGAATAGGCAGTGATTTCGTATTCGTTTTTTATTTGGTATTTGTCGAATACCGAATACAAATACGAATATGCTGGTATTCGTTTACACCTTTACTTGCTCTCCTTTCCTTTCCATCCTTCCAGGACGCAGCAAGCCAGAGGGCTGACCAAGTGGCAGCAGAGCTGAAGGCGGCAAGGGCCTCAGCGACCGAGGCTCAGCTGCAGCTCGAGGTGCGGCCATGCCTTATATATTCATGGCCGATTAGTTGCCGCCTTGCTAACGTTTATCGCCTCACCGTCATGACTTTTCAGTCACCTTTTACTGATTATCCCCACCCTCAAATTGCACCTCCTTCCCTTACCCTTCCCCTTCCCCTTCCCCTTCCCCTTCCCCTTCCCCTTCCCCTTCCCCTTCCCCTTCCCTTTCTGTTTCTCCATGCTTATCCCCTCGTTTCTGTGCCCTCCAGGCGTGTAGGCAGCAGCATGCGGAAGAGCTGGCTGAAGCACGCAAGGAGCTTCTCGCTACCAAGAAGGAGATGAGCTCCCTCAAGGGCAAGCCAGGGGCGGCCGAGCGTGAGCGGGACCAGCTGAGGAAAGAAGCAGAGAAGCGGAAAACCAAGATGCTGGACCTAGAGGCGAAGCTGAAGGCAGTACAAGCGGAGAAGCTGGGTCTGCAGGTGGATAAGGCAAACCTGGAGCGTGAGGTGAAGAGCCTGCGGAACCAGAGCAACCAGCTGGCGCGGGATTTGAGCAAGAGGGAGCAGGTGGAGGATAAGCGGAGGGAGGTGCAGGCGAAGGCTGTGCAGGCGGACCGGCAGCTGGCGGCAATGGCGGCAGAGATTGAAGAGAAGGACAGGGCGATTGTGGACCTTCAGGTCAGCGGAAAGGGGGGGATTTGTGTGAGCTCTGGAGAGTGTGGCATGTTATTAGGAGCGTTTTTTATTACCGGGCAGAGCAGGTGAAGTTGTGGTGAAAGTGAGAAGGAAGGATCAGAGTGAGCAGGAGCAGGTGGGGAATTGGGTTGACACTTCCCTTTCCGTCTTCTCCCTGCTCTCCCTATCCCGTCTACTCCCCCTCCCCCTTCCCCCCCTCTCCCATCTCCCTCTTACAGGCAGCGTTGGAGGCGGCAGAGGGCGAGAGGGACGAGCTGAGGCTGAGGGTGGCGGCAGCGGCGGAGGAGGGCGAGCAGCTGCAGGCAGAGGTGGAGGCGGGGCAGGCGGACCTGCAGGAGGTGCTTGCAGACTTTGAGACGGCCACCACGCAGATCAAGGCTCTGCAGGAGATTCGGCAGGAGCTGGTACGTGCTGATTCGTAGGGAGGGGAAAGGGGGAGTCTTGGTGATGTGTGGTGTGGTGTTGTGTGGTGTGTGTGTGTGTGCTGGTGCAATTGCCACATCCGGTGGTGTGCTGTGAGTGCTGGTGCTTTCGTCTCTCTGATGCTACCTTCAACTCGTTCTTCACCTCCACCTCACTGCCTTCGTCGCTTCCCTGACTGTGCCCACAACTGTGACTGTGATTGCTGAGACTTGAAAACTACTTCTGTCCACAACTGTGCCAACGGCTCATGCAGTCAGCTTCTCGACTCTGGCCTTCCCTTCGTTGACTGTACCCTAAACCCACGATTGTGCCCAGACGGAGCAGTGTGAGGAACTGGAGAAGGGCAAGGCAGAGGCAGAAGCTGCTGGGAAGGAGGCAGAGGGAAAGATCGTGGTGCTGCAGGCGAGGATCCAGCAGGCAGAGGAGGAGAAGCTGCAGCTGGAGGCAGACATCGCTGCAGCAAGGAAGGAGCACTCTGAGGTGGGTGCATTGGCACAGGCTAACTAAAATTAATTCGAGTTCTGAGAGGATCCAGCAGGCAGAGGAGGAGAAGCTGCAGCTGGAGGCAGACATTGCTGAGCGAGGAAGGAGCACTCTGAGGTGGGTGACTTCGATCAGGCTGCTGCTGCTGTGGCTTCTCCTCCCGCCCCTTATGGTTTCTAGATTTCATCCTTGCACTCGTGGTCCCTGTTCCCTGTTCCCCGTTCCTCGTTCCTCGTTCCCTGCTCTCCCTGTTACCTGATTCTTTTCCGTACTACCCTATTCCCTGATACCTGTCCCTTGACTCTGGGCCGACAGCTATCCGCACAGCACAAGGCGGCTCTGCAAGAATTGGAGAAGGAGAAGGCGAGAGCGGCTGGTCTGGAGGGCGATCTCAGAGCAGAGAGAGCAAAGAGCGAGCGGCTTGGAAAGCAGGTAAGAATCGAGGGGTGATTGCAGATTCCAGTGACAAGAAATGCCGGTAAGGCAGCATGAATGTCGGTGTTGTTTCTTTCTGTTAACCTTGTTTGAATGTCAGGACTTTTTGCTCTGCTACCTTTTTTCCTTCCTCTACACGGGCGGACGAGGTGGTAGCGATGGAGAGCAATCTCAATGCGGCAAATGGGAGGATTGCGGGGCTGTAGAGGCAGGTGCATTACCTTTCTTTCCACCCATCTCCCTCCTTCTCAATCCTCCCACATCCACAGGCGGACGAGGTGGTGACGATGGAGAGCAGGCTGAACACAGCGAATGAGAGGATTGCAGGGCTGCAGAGGCACGTGCATGGCTTTCCTTCCCTCCCTCACCCTCTCCGTTTCCACCACAAACCACAGGCGGACGAGGTGGTGGCGATGGAGAGGCAGCTGAACGCAGCAAATGAGAGGATAGCAGGGCTGCAGAGGCAGGTGCAGGAGCGGGAGGAGCAGGTGGAGCATCTGAAGCAGGAGAGGAGGGAGGCGGAGGAGGAGGCGCGAGCAGAGGGGGAAGGAGCTGCCCTGGCTGTGAAGCGGGAGCTGGCCTCGCTGCAGAACAAGTACAGCGCTCAGAAGGTATGCTCAACAAAAGGTCAGTTGGACTGAAACTTGTGTGTTGTTGGTAAAAAACTAGATTTGATGGCTCGCTGTTGGTGCATTGAAGTGTCTGCTCTGGCTGTGAAGAGGGAGCTGGCGTCGCTGCAGAACAAGTACAGCGCTCAGAAGGTATGCTGGACTGATAGAAACTGTTCTTAAGGGAGTGATGCTGGTGAGTTATTGTTTCTCTGCATGACTTGGCGGCTGCCCTGGCTGTGACGAGGGAGCTGGCCTCGCTGCAGAACAAGTACAGCACTCAGAAGGTATGTTGGACTGAAACTGATTGTTGTTAGTGTGAATGCTGGTCATGAGAGCGTGCTGTTGGTGCACTAAAGTGTTTCTCAGCCTCACCGGGGGTCTGCTCTGGCTGTGAAGAGGGAGCTGGCTTCCCTGCAGAACAAGTACAGCGCTCAGAAGGTACGCTGGACTGAAGTGGTCTGGAGAATGTGTTGGTGCACACATCTGCCTGCTTCAGCTTTAGTGCGCAAGTTCCAGTTGACTTCGCTGCAGAACGAGTGCACCAGTTAAAGGTTTCCTAGTCGAGTTTACTCAAGATGTAAGGTCGTCTTGAGAGTGTATCACTCCCGTCTAAATCTGATGTATTCAGGAGCCTTATAATTTATTTTCTAAAGTCTTACTGTTAATCATTTTGCTCTGCCTCACTTGTGCTTCATAAACCTAGAACTGATTGAACAGTTTCGATAATTTTCATGCTCTTCTGTTCTTTTCTTTGTTCGCTTTTTTTCCACTGCTCCCACAGAGTGTGTGGCGCAAGGCCTTTGCAGAGAAGAAGGAACGGGTCGAGAATCTCACGGTGAGACTCTTCTCTATGTCATTGCGAGAAGCTATGTCTGCAAAATCACATATGACCATCTGTGCACCTGTCCTGTGAGGTTGTGACGGGTACACTCTTGCTCATTGTTTGCGTCCCTGCTTCATTCATACTGTATGATGTTTTGATTCCCTGCCTCTCTACCTACCTTTTCCATAATCAGGGTCGACTGCAGCAGTCCGAGCAGCAGCGGATGGAGCTGCAGCGGCTGCTGCAGTCACTGCAGGCAGAAGCAGGGAGTGAAGGCGAGGAGGAGGAAGAGGCAGGGAACAGGAGAAGGGGGAGTGGTGGCGAGTGGAGGGGGCGCAAGGAGGTGGTGGCAGTGCTGATCAGTGCGCAGGACACAAACAGGAAGCTCGTGAAGGACCTGGAGGGCGCCAGGCAGAAGGTGCGGCCCTTCTGTCTTTTTTGTGCTTGACTTTCGTGTTTTGCCAGGCTTTCTATTTGAACGGCCTGGAGCATACCAAACAGATGGTATGAGCAGTGTGTTGAAAGAAGAGCAGACGGCCACTCTTCGTTTCTGCTTTGGACATTCTGTTCCGCCCTGCTCCTTTTGTTCCGCCCTGCTCCTATTGTTCCGCCCTCTCCTCTCCTCTTCTCCCAACTCAAAGATGAGCTGGCATAAAGGCATAGCATTAAGATGAGCACTTGGACGTCTCAACCTTATCGCTTCTCCTCATCCCACAACCTTCCACCCCGCATTCACCCTTGAGGAGCTGGCATAGGCATAGAAGCAGAGGGACGAACTTGCGACATCTCAACCTTGTCTCTTCTCCTCCCCTTTCCCCTTCCTCCCCACCTCTGCATTCGCCCTTGACCAGCTGGCAGAGGCAGAGAAGCAGAGGGATGAGCTGCAGCAGGTGTTGGATTTGAAGGAGGAGGTGTGGGAGGAGAGGGAGGAGAAGGAGAAGCGCCTGCAGCAGCTGGAGCTGGATGTGAAGCTGTATGAGGCGAATCAGAAGGACTACCTCATGCAGATTGAGTCGCTGGAGAATCAGGTGAGCGATCTGGGGTTATTTAGGTGTGGCCTTGTATCAGGTGAGCGCCTGCAGCAGCTGGAGCTGGATGTAAAGATGTATGAGGCGAATCAGAAGGACAGCCTCATGCAGGTTTAGTTGTTAAAGAATCATGTCAGCTGTATGTTCTTCTGCCAGTCTCGTCTCTGCGACCCTTTTCCTGATTTGCATTGTTTTACACTGTGCTCAGTTGGGACAGTTTTTATAAGTTGCAGTGTTCTAACTAAGCAAGTTTTGTTTCTTGCTCATGCAGCTTCAAGCCAAGGAGAACCAGCCAAGAGGTTCTTTGACCGGACATGGCGATAAAGTCTGTCAGATGAGCATAGCTGTGGGTAAGAATGGTGTCTCGCCATCTCCCAAGAGGGCTCGCCAACCACTAACAGATCTATACTAGGAACTTTGGCTAGTCGCTTACGAGGATCGTAGTGAGCATTCCAAATATTGGTTCTTGGTAACATATATATTCACAAATAATACTACCGTATATACATTATAAAGGACTTCGCCTATATAGCTACGACGAGAATCATGTGAGTCTAATTCCATAATAATTATCAGCAACAATATTTATGCTGATGCGGAAAGCCGGATTCCCTTATAGCGGATCCTTGGCATTGTCATGAATGTCAGCCGCCATTCATTTCAATCATGTCCTCACCTTTGTGCTTCAGTTTTCCGATGTAAATAGATTTCGGTTCTGTTCGTTTCGATGTTCCGAATCCACTTACGGTGCGTCTCTTCATCTCTTGAAGTTGCCTCTGACATTGAACTTCCCGCTTCCCGCCCCATCCGTTTCTTCCACCATCGCATTCCGTCAGTTGCCACTCTGCCTTGTTTCACGCTCCCCTTGTATATGTCGTCTAGGGCACGATGTTCAGAAGCGGCTGAGTCTCAGCAGAAGTGAATTTCTAGATTCTTGACGGCATAAGAAGATTACAGTGTCGTGCTTGCTATGGAGTGACACGATAGTAGCGTCGCAATGGCTAGGGGTCCCGGTTGTCGTACTCGGTCTGAAAACGTCGTGAATCCCGCGACTGCTCGCCAATAGAAGCATTCCACGTGGCATCACAGGTTCGAAGACACGTGGTATGCTCAGCGTGCATGAGTCCCATGGCCAAGCCGCTTACCTCTACCTTCAATCGTCCGCCTGTCACGTCAGCGCCACGTGGCTCAGCTGGACTGGCTGCAACGCACGGTTCAGTATCGTCGTCGTCAATCCGTTTCCATCCGCGTTGTTCCCCAACACCTCTACTCTACACCTCAACAGCTCTTCGTGTAGTTCGCACTTCCAACTGCACTTTAAGATGCGATAAATGCTGCACGCCAAGTTCCAACCAGGCGGCTTTGCTTAATAATAGCCTCACTCCTCGACCGCATTCCCCGCGCGCGGCATTCGGCGCAGCATTCGGCGCATGCGGAGTTCACGCGCGGACACCTCGGGTGGCCCCGCGGGGGGGGCTTTCCGCGCATGAACCCAGGCGGAACGGAGTGGGAGCAGCGCCGTGCACAAGGGGTGCCGTGGGTCGGTCGCTTAGAACTAGGACGGCGGCAGGACGCGCCACTCCTCCGGGACCCTCCTCCCCGCCCGACCCTCCCCCTGAACGTCCTCGTTTCTCGCTCTGGCCCAGGCCTCCAGACATTGGTAAGGTACCGAGCCTCTAGGCTTGGTTTTGGCTGCAATCCTGGGTCTCTGGAAGTGGCTGATTTCTCAGGTTAGCCAACCCTAGTTGGTACACCCACCGATTTGAACCTGGTTAACTCATGCTGCATCACTCGTAATTTTACTTGAAAAGATGTTTTCTCCGATAAGTTTGCCTAGAGATTGCGCCGTTTTATGGCCCTTCTGGCCATTTTCTGACCTACCTATTGGTCAGAGACCCTTTTGCATTCCGCCTTCCCCACTCCCTTCCCGTTGCAGAACCCGAGGATGGAAGTTACACCATGGGTGGTAACCCAGGTGTTTGTGTCGACTAAAAATATATATTTCCTACGCCCTTCCCGTTGCAGAACCCGAGGATGGAAGTTACACCAACACTGGTAACCCCACTGACGATGGCAGCAGCAGCAGCGAGGAAGACGATAGCACCATCAGCAGCAGTAGTAGCAGTGACACCAGGCCAAAAGGTTTTGGAGCGACAACAGCAGGAAAGGCTGCAGGCAAGGCAGCAGGGAAAAAGAGCAGTGGAGGTCGAAAGGGAGGAGGGAAACGGGTGGGTTCCCTTCAGGGGGTTCCCAGGGGGGTGGCGTCTAGAACACAAGCCGCCGACCCACGCAGGAGGGATTTCGAGTCTGTGACTAGAACAGGCGAGGCGGCCAGGGGAAGTGGAGGAAGCGGGGGGGTCGAGATGAGCAGAGAGGAGGAGGAGGTGTGGGAGAAGAATAGGGGGATGGATGGCGTTTCTGATATGGATAGTCTTGCAGCGCTCTGGTTTTTGGGTCTACCCATGCCAGGGATCCCGGATGGGAAGGGAGGGATGCGGGTGCCTAGTGATGCTGAGATGTTCGTTCATGTGTTTGTGAAAGGCTTAGCCAAGCGGCAGATAGGGATGAGTGAGGGCGGGAAAAGCGGCAACAGTGAGAGTGGGAGGGATGGTGAGAGCGGGGGTGAGAGAAACGGGGAGAAGCTAGGTGAACTGTTAAAACTTTTCAAGAGCTCTGAGAGAGGGAAAGATGGGGGTATCGGAAGGAGAGAGGAGGGGAAGGGGGTCATGGTGATTGAGAGGAGAGATGGTTCTTCTAAAGAAGTTGATGTGGCAGAGGTTGAGGCAGAGCTTGCAGCTTATCTCGACTCCGCTAGCAAGAAGGCTGCTGAAGGCCGCAGTGAGCAGAGAGACATGGGCATGGAGGTGACCAGGAGTGGCAGCAGCAGTAGTAGCAGTGACAGCAGCAGCAGCGGTGGCAGTAGCAGTGGCAGCAGAGGAAGCAGCGGTGGTGGCAGCAGCAGCGGTGGTGGGAAGGGGTTGTTTGGGTTTGGGGGAGAGGTGGCACGTGGCCTCGCTGATGCTGTTCAATGGTTCCAGTCAGTCACCTCTCCCAACCCCTCCAAACCGCTCGAAGCCACCATTGACCCACCCATTTCATCCAAGTCTGCCAAGTCACCTGAACCTGCCAAAACACCTGAACCAGCCAAAACACCTGAACCTGCCAAGTCACCTGAACCAGCTAAATCACCTGAAGCAGCCAAGCCACCTGAATCTGCCCTGCCATCTGAACCTGCAAAATCACCTGAACTTGCCGGATCGCCTGAACCTGATAAATCACCTGCCCAATCCCTTGAACCTGCCAAACCACCTGAATCGACCATTTCATCTCCCCTTCCTTCTAGCAGTACAGAATCTCGCGAAGCCACGCCTCCTCCTTCCATTTCACAGCCCATTCCCTCGCCTCCTCTTCCCCCCTCTCCTTCTTCTGCCTCCCCTCCTCCTTCTCCTTCCCGTTCTCCTCCTACTCCTCCTCCTCCTCCCTCTCCTCCTCCTTCTACTTCCTCCTCTCCTCCTCCTCCTCCTCCTCCTCCTCCTCCCTCTCCTCCCTCTCCTCCTATGTCTCCTTCCTCCTCTCCTCCTCTTCCCCCTGGTGTGGCAAAGGCAGAGAGAAAAGCACCAAGCCCTGGCATCAAAGACGAGCCCTTGGATGTGCAAGGTGCTAGCAACGAGGCAGACTATAAGGGGTATAACGAGGCAGGGGGAGACGAGGGGGAAACGGCGGCTGGGTGGGATTCGAGCGAGGAAGTGAGGGGTGAGGGGGAGGGGGAAAGCGGGCAGAGAGGGAGGCCAGGGGTTGAGTCTGCGTTGGGAGTGGTGGAAAGGAGAATGGGAGAGGAGGAGAGGGTTGAGGGGATTGTGTTGACAGAGGCAGAAGAGAGTGAGGAAGAGGATAATGCGGGGTGGATTGCGATAGAAAAGGGTAATGAGGGGCGGATTGGAGTGGAGGAAGGAAAGGTGGACGCAGCAGGGGGGCGTTCTGATGTGGATGAAGGGATGAGGACGAGGGGAACGGATCCAAAAGAGAGAGCGCCTGAACGGACGAGAGAGAGACGAGAGACTTCTGAGGCTCCTGAACGAATGAAAGAGAGTGGAAAGGTGAGAGAAGAGGCGGAGAGGGCTGAGAGGGAGAGCAAGGAGGAGGAGCAGAGGAGATTGGAAGAGAAGCAGAGGGGGGAGAGGAAGAGGGAGAGGAGGAGGGCGAGGCGAGTGATGCTGCTGGCAGCTCAGCTTAAGGAGGCGTTGGAGCGGCAAGGCAAGGTGGTTCTTGAGACGCCTCTAAAATCCGCTCAGTTGAAAGAGGCAGTGGAGAGGCAAGGGGAGGGGAGGCAAGGGGCGATGGGGCAGGGCAGAGAAGAGGGCGTGTGGGAGGATGGGGTGGGAGAGAGGAGAGAGGGGGATGGTGATGGGGGTGAGGGAGTGTTGGGTGAGGGGCGCAGGGAGGGACAGGAGGGAGAGATGGGCGAAGGCAAGCGACGGATGGGAGAAGGGGGAGAGACGAGCGAAGGTGAGAGTGAGACGAGCGAGGAGTTGAAAGCGGTGAAGATGGAATATGGAGGAGACAAAGTGGGGAAGGTGGAAGGAGGAGGGAATGGTTTAGGAGCAGGAGGGAGTCTAGATGTGGAGGAGTTGAGAGTGGTGGATTTGGGGCAGGTAGCGCTGCTGCTGGGGGCTATTGAAGGGCTCAAGGAGGTTCGGGATCTGCCGAAGCTGATGAGCTGGCTCGGCGGTGTGTCGCAGGGGGAAGGCGGTGAGGTTGGTCGTGCTGAGGTGGATCCGGCCAGTGATGACGTGTCACTGGGCAGTGCCGAGGTGTCGCAGGTGCTGTATGAGCTGGCGATTGCGGAGGAGAGTGAGAAAGCGCTGGCGCTGCTGAGATGGATGGAGGAGAGGAGGGAGAGGGAGTGGGAGGGGATGAGTACGGATCAACGGAGAAAGATTGTGGAGGAGGAGAGAGCGAGAGAAGCGAGAAGCCTCGAAAGAGGGATGCAACGGGGGGGAGAGGGAATCGAGAGGAGGACGGCGAGTGGGGGAGAGGATGGGGTGCCAGAAGAAATTCAAGGAGGAGTGGTAATTGGGGCGGTTTTGGGGGCACCTGAAAATACCCAAGAGGGGGTGCTGTTCGGGCCAACGTCGAATGCGTACGGTGCTGTTGTAACGATGCTGCTTCGCTTGGGGCGGGTGGAGGAGGCTGAAGCGATGGTCATGGGGACAGTGCGAGAGACGCAGGAGCAGCAGGAGAAGGGGCAGAAGGGGCAGAATGGGCAGCAGGGGCAGCAGGGGCAGCAGTTAAAGCAGCAGCAGGAACAGTGGGAGAAAATCCATCCTCCCCTCATCCCCATTCCCCACCGTGTCTACTGCCAACTCATTGGCGCTCTGGTTGGCACCGGCAAGGGCTTGTGAGCACTTGCTGTGTTTTCCAAAATGAGGAAAGAGCAGGGCCAGGGGCAGAGCACTGGGCAGAGCAAGGGGCAGAGCAAGGGGCAGGGCAAGGGGCAGAGCAAAGGGCAAAGCAAGGGGAATTGGAAGGGAGGCGGCACAGAGTGGGGGAAAGGTGGGGGAAAGGGGGGTTCCGAACGGGGTTTTAAGTGGGCGGACAAAGGGCCGAGGAAGGCAGGGGAAGGGCGGCCTTCTTTGGCGTTATGCCACCTGGTGATGAAGGGGTGCTTGAAGGAGGGCGGGCGGGCGGGCCTGGAGGGATGCAACGCGCTGGTGGAGGAGATGTTTGCGATGGGCGGCAAACTGAAACCCACTCCGGTGAGAATGGGAGGGGGAGGTGAGTGGTATAGTTGTTGTTTGGTCTGGTTCATGTGCGGGTTATCTGAGATCCCTGAGAGCATCAGTGGGCTGACGAAGCTTCTAGAGCTCGGCATCCAGTCATTCTGGAATGAGCGGGAACTTCCGGAGTCCATTACGGGTCTCAGGCGCCTGGAGAGCTTGCGCATCGTGGATTGTGAGAGCCTCGCTCAGATGCCCAGGGATTTGGAGAGTCTTGAGAGGCTCAATTACCTAGAGGTGAGATTGTGTCCAGTGCTGTTGCACACTCCATCACTGCTGCCAGCGTCTCCTGAGCGTGTATTTGTTGAGCGAAACGAATACACATTCTCAACAAATACACGCTCAAGCGAAGGTGGCAGCAGTGATAGAGTGTGCAGCAGCACCTGACACAATCTCACCTCTAGGTAATTGAGCCTCTCAAGACTCTCCAAATCCCTGGGCATCTGAGCGAGGCTCTCACAATCCACGATGCGCAAGCTCTCCAGGCGCCTGAGACCCGTAATGGACTCCGGAAGTTCCCGCTCATTCCAGAATGACTGGATGCCGAGCTCTAGAAGCTTCGTCAGCCCACTGATGCTCTCAGGGATCTAAAAAGCCTGGTTCCTCACCTGGCAGACGCGCATGCAGTCATCATGAAAGCGTGGCTATAGCAGGGTGGAGGCATCAGAATAATCGTTTCTTTCTTTCTTCTTCTCTGAACCCCCTACTGCCATGAACCTCACAGCTCACTTTCTCCTTGCTGATCCGTGCAATGCTGCAAGAGGGGGAGCTGAAGCGAGCTCCTCGCGTGCTGCGCGAGAGGATGCCGCGCAGAAACTTGGTTCCGCGCCTGGAGGACGTGCATGCAGTCATGAAGGCCCTGCTGGGGCAAGGCAAGGAGGCGGGAGTGGCCGAGGCGATGAGGATCATGAATGAGATTCTGGAAGTGAAGGGGGAGGGGTGGAGGAGGGAGAGTACCTTACAGATGGTCAAACCGAGCGAGGTGAGTTGGGGGAGGACGGGGAGGCAGGGGGGGGAGGCGGGCGTGGCAGAGGCGATGAGACTCATGGATGAGATTCTGGGGTTGACGAGGGAGGGGTGGCGGAGGGAGAGTACCTTACAGATGGTCAAACCGAGCGAGGTGAGTGGGTGGGAGGGCATGCTTCATTCTTTCATGCCCTGTGAGCGTGCGGTGCCCAACCATCGGAATGCCCTCTTGAGTCTTGATCCGCCCTTTCCATCCATTCCCTCCATTCCATTGAAGCGTCTCTCCCAACCCTTATCTAATCAACTCACCTTCCAAATGCTTATCTTTGGCCTCAATCACAAGCAAAAGCTCAGCAAGGCCTTCCATCCTATGCTTCACACACCCACCCCTATCCTATCAGCTCACCTTCCGCATGCTCATCCTCGGCCTGTGTCGTGAGCGCAATCCCAGCAATGCCCTGTTGACTGTCCAGATTCCTATACCTACACTTCCCACTCCCAATCTCTTTCCCCATCACACCCACCCCTATCCTACCAGCTCACCTTCCGCATGCTCATCCTCGGCCTGTGTCGTGAGCGCAACCCCAGTAAGGCCGTGTTCTACCTCACTTGCATGATGGACGCGGGACTCATGCCCGATAGACAGCTCTTCCGCGCCTGCATGCTCACACTCTCTGCTCTCGGTATGCTCACACTCTTCTCGATGACAAAATTGGTTTGTCCTCATCCTTTGTCCCTCTCTCGGCCATGTCCACGATATATGTATATATATATGTATATATATGTTTGTGTGTGTGTGTGTGTGTGAGTGTGTGTGTGTGTGTGTGTGTGTGTGTGTGTGGGTGTGTGTGTGTGTGTGTGTGCGCGCGCGCGCGCGCGTGCGTGCGTGCGTGCGTGCGTGCGCGTGTGTATGTGTGTGTGTATATTTATATATATACACATAATAAAAAAAAGGGGTGCAAAATAATGTCGCTCTTTCGACCATATCCATGATTTTTTTGGAAGTATTTTCTTGAAATTCTTAAAATCGTCATGCAAAAAAGTGCCCATTTTTCGGCCGTATTCACGACGAGTTCGAATGCCATCACGATCCGTCAATTCACGACGACTTTTTCTTCTTCTTCTTCTTCTTTGCGTTTCATAGGTAGGGCAATTCACGATTTAGGTTGATGATATGTGAAAAACCATGACGTGGAAAACAATGACATCTGCTCGACATTTTTTTGGAGCTCACTATAGTTTAAATCAGCTTGTTTGCACTTGAGCTGTTTATGCTGATAGACGCAGGCGAGGCGAGGAGGGCTGTCTGTCCATCGCTCATAAACGTGGAGTTTTTTAGAGCAGACCCTCACTGTCTTGGATCCCCTGGTTATTTTATAACCGCACGTGACTTGCGACACGTTTTAGTTGTTTGTGTTAATGCGCGGGACGAGGGGCATGCTAGCGCTTATAGACGGGTGCAGACCTGAGAATTGAGGCGCCTCAAAACTCAAAGGGGCACGCGGGCGCTGATAGACGGGTGCAGACCTGGCGTATATCACAGACCCCCCCTTTCCCCGTTCTCCATCTTTTGTTCCCTCATCAGGCATCACCCGCCGCGATGCATTGGAGTTGTTTGAGATGATGCGCGGGACGAGGGGCACTCGGGCGCTGATAGACGCAGACGTGTGTGTGCCGCCCCGCCCCCCTCTTCCAAATAGTCCCTCTCTCTTCCATGTATTCCCGCTCTCCTCCCTCAACCAGGCATCACCCGGGACGCATTGGAGTTGTTTGAGTTGATGCGTGGGATGAGAGGCACTCGGGCGCTGATAAACGCGGATCCGTGGGGCACTGACCCCATTTTCCCGTCGTACCCCTTGCCTCTTCCAACCAGGCATCACTCGCGATGCATTGGAGCTGTTTGAGTTGATGCGCAGGACGAGGGCCGCCCGTGCGCTGATAGATGCGGACGTGTGTGGCACTGACCCCATTTTCCCATTGTACCCTGTGCCTCCTTCCAACCAGGCATCACCCGCGATGCACTCGAGTTCTTTGAGTTGATGCGCGGGACGAGGGCCACCTGGGCGCTGATAGACGCGGACCTGTGTGTGCTGTGCCGATCCCGTTTTATCCCATGTATTTCCTCACTCTTTTATATAAGCTATAACCCATCTCTCGTTCCAACCAGGCATCACCCGCGATGCTCCAGAGCTGTTTGAGCTGATGCGCGGGACAAGGGGCAGACGGGTGCTGGTAGACGGGTGCAGACCTGGCGGCGAATAGCACTGACCCCTCTTTTCCCATTCTCTCGTTCCCACCAGGCATCACCCGCGATGCATTGGAGTTATTCGAGCTGATGAGAGGGACGAGGGCTACGCGGGCGCTGATAGACGCGGACATGTGCACGCTGTTGCTGGCGGCGCTGGGCAAGCGCGGGCTGGGGCTCGAGATGAAACGAGTGGCATCACTCATGCGCAAGGTGGGAAAGTGGGGCCTCTTGGTAGCAGGAAGTGGAGGAGTGGTAAAAGGTGGGAAACGTGTGACTCTGGTCCTTATTATGGGGAAGGTTGGGGAGAGTGCTCTTGGTAGTGGGGAAGGTGGGGTCTTGGTAGTGGGGAAGGTGGGGTCTTGGTAGTGGGCGAGGGCCACACGGGCGCTGATAGACGCGGACATGTGCACGCTGCTGCTGGCGGCGCTGGGCAAGCGCGGGCTGGGGCTCGAGATGAAACGAGTGGCATCACTCATGCGCAAGGTGGGAAAGTGGGGGCTCTTGGTAGCAGGAAGTGGAGGAGTGGTAAAAGGTGGGAAACGTGTGACTCTGGTCCTTATTATGGGGAAGGTTGGGGAGAGTGCTATTGGTAGTGGGGAAGGTGGGGTCTTGGTAGTGGGCGAGGGCCACACGGGCGCTGATAGACGCGGACATGTGCGCGCTGCTGCTGGCGGCGCTGGGCAAGCGAGGGCTGGGGCTCGAGATGAAACGTGTGGCCTCCCTTATGCGGAAGGTGGGGTGTTGGTGGTGAGGAAGGAAGGTGGGGTGTTGGTGGTGAGGAGGGTGGGATCTGCAAAGAAGGAGAGTCTGATTCTTGTATGGAAAAACGCAACGTGATAACAGTTGTGTTTTGAGACGTCTCAAAACTCATCTGTTATCAGAAGGAGAGTCTGATTTCTGTATGGAGAAACTGGGTCCCCACTTGGCAATACCTTATACCAATTAGTCATATGCATGCATGTTTCCTCCCTCTACTATGCATCTCTCCCATTCTTACCCTAACTTACCCCCCTGCAACCTGTCCCACCCCACCCCACCCCACCCCACCCCACCCCACCCCACCCCACCGCACCGCACCACACCCCACCACACCGCAGATGGCGATCCCTCACAGCGGCGAGTCGTATGCGCAACTGATCATGGGGTATGCACGGGCGGGCATGTGGAGCGAGGTGGACGCTTTAGTAGCCGAGATGGAAGAGCAGACAAGCAGAAGCAACGCCAATGTTAATCTTGGTGCCGATATTGCTGCTGAGCCTGCCTCTGTCTCTGCCGCTGCTGTTGAAGAGCTGGGGATTGGGGTGGGGGCGACAGTGCGGGACAGCATGGCGGTGTGCAATGCACTGATGATGGCGTATGGGAGGGCCGGCAGGATGGAGCAGATGGAGATGGTGGTGAATCGACTCAGAGTGCTGTCGCCAGATGGCACGCTGCGATTGGTGAGTTCTGTTGTGGCATGTGTTGATTGTTTTAGGTTTACCTACCTTATGTTTGGTAATATATATATTTACATATATATACATTTTTTATTGTCTATTTGTTTGGTATTATGTCTAAGTGTTTTATTAGACAACATATTGTGTGGTGACAATAAGAGCGTTACTTAAACTTTATATCTGGCTCTAGCCATATTAACCGCACTGATTTGACAAAAGTGCATTACTTACTCCCAAATCTTTAAAACTCAAACAAAAAATCTCCTCCCCCAATCCACGCATTCCCCATCGCCAGGAGTCTTACAAGACTCTAGTAGACGACTTTTGAGGTGCATTGGTTGATTGGGGGGGGAGGGGAGGTAAACATGGCAATAGGGTGGCTCAAGTGATGATTCATAAGCAGGGGTGATTATGTTAGACTCAAAACTTGGATATCTAGTTTCGGTAAGTTGTTTTTTTTCCAGCACGATACAGTACCCTATGCCATTCATTTCTGTTTTGAATTGCGAGTTATGACACCCATGTCAGAACAAGCTACCGTAAGCACGGCATGAGTTCCAACTTTTATGTGTTCCTAGACCAGTACTGGTCGATAGCCGTGCTTACGGTAGCTTGTTCTGACATGGGTGTCATAACTCGCAATTCAAAACAGAAATGAATGGCAGTACTACAGACAAAAGACATACGGTACTGTATCGTGCTGGAAAAAGACAGCTTACCGAAACCAGATATCCAAGTTTTGAGTCTAACATAAACCCCTGCTTATGAATCATCATTTGAGCCACCCTATTGCTATGTTTACCTCCCCTACCTCCCCAATCAACCTCAAAAGTCCTACACGATTATTGTAGAGGTGCACGTCCATTGCTGTGCCCTTCCTCCACATAGCCCCTCAACCCGCAAACCTCGAATCGCATCCCCCATACCCCATCACACCGCATCACACTCATTTGCACTCCATCACACCTCATCCCACGACACCCCATCATCAGGAGTCGTACAACACTCTCCTGGAGGTATACGCTCGTCGCTGCGCCCGCAATCCAAGAAGGCGAGGCAGAAACAAAAGCAGAAGCAGAGCCGGCACTGTTGCTACTGATACTGCTGCGGATTCCAATTCTGATGCTGCTACTCCTTCCCCTTCGCAAGGGGAAGCTAGGAAACCTCAAGCCCAGTCTGAGGGGGAGGAAGAAGAAGTAGCAGACAAGGAGGGAGATGGATACGTGGAAGGGGATTTGGAGGACGAGCAGGAGGGAGGGGAGTGGGGGGGAGAGGAGGCGGAGGAGGAGGAAGAGGAAGAAGCGGTGAGGGCACGGCAGGCAGCAGCGATGGCGGATGTGGCACGGGTGGTGATGGAGGTGGAGGGAGCAGGGCTCCGCCTCTCCATGCGCTCCTATGCTGCTGTCATGCAGGCGCTAGGTTTGGCGGGTCATTTCGACCAGGTGTGTTTCCTTTCCACAGTGTGTACGCATTCGTAGTAATCCCAATATAGGGCTGCACCCCGTGGGTGCTGATGGAGGTGGAGGGGGCAGGGCTCCGCCTCTCCATGCGCTCCTGTGCTGCTGTCATGCAGGCGCTGGGGTTGGCAGGGCACTTCGACCAGGTTCGTATAGTGCTGTTGTATACGCAACATAGAGTACACACACGCATACACTGCATGTGGTTCCATGTGCTTGGCGCCCTCCGCCTCTCCATGCGCTCCTGTGCTGCTGTCATGCAGGCACTGGGGCTGGCTGGCCATTTCAACCAGGTGTGTTCTCATTGTGTGTATGCGTATATGGTACATGCCGTGCCAACAGCCTACCGCCTCTCCATGAGGTCAATGTATGATACGCATTGTAGAGGTGAGTGAGGGCATGGCAGGCAGCAGCTTTTGCAGTAGTGTACGCAGTATGCATGTGGTGCGTGCAAGCAGCTCTGCGCCTCTCCATACCCTCCTACGCTGCTTTCCTGCAGGTAGTGGGGCTGGCAGGGCCTCTCATTCTCTCCCCCGGTGTACCGCAAGCTGATTGACGTTCTCGGGATGGGGGGGCGACTGGGGGAGGCGCTATGGTGTTCTCACTTCTCACTGCAACACTCCTTTCCATTCGCCCCAATATTATCATTCCTCATTTTCAGGTGAAAGGCCTGGTGGCAGCAGCACGCGCACAAGGGCTCTCATTCTCCCCACCAGTCTACCGCATGCTCATAGACATGCTGGGGCTGATTGGTGGGGAGGAGAGGGAGATGAAAGGCTGTGGAAGGCATTCATCCCTCTTACGTGCTGTTCTTACTGAAAATATCTCTTTCATTCATCCCTTGTTTGTTCTCTCTCTCCACCCCAGGTGAAAGGCCTGGTGGCAGCAGCACGAGCACAGGGCCTCTCATTCTCCCCCCCAGTGTACCGCATGCTGATAGACGTGCTCGGGAGGGGGGGACGACTGGGGGAGGCGCTACTGGTGTTGGAGGAGCTGAAGAGGGTACACCCCGGGCATGGCAATTTGTCCGCTTACAATACTCTCTTGCTGGTGAGTGGTGTACTCGTTATAAAGGTGTGCACTCGTTACAAGGTGCATCGAGATGGGAGCAGTGAAAACTGCCTGGGGGGAGGAGGGGAGACGCTGCTGGTGTTGGAGGAGCTGAAGAGGGTGCACCCGGGGCATGGCAATTTGTCGGCTTACAACACTCTCTTGCTGGTGAGACGATTATGATGATGTACTCGCTATGAGGTGCTTCAAGATGGGACCAGTGAATTCTGCTGATTGGGGAGGCACTGCTGGTGTTGGAGGAGCTGAAGAGTGTGCACCCGGGCATGGCATACTCGTTATAAGGTGCCTCAAGATGGGGAACTATGAAGGCTCTGTTGGCCTTACAAGGTGCCCATCCAGAGCACGTGTTTGCAGTGCTCGCCCTCATGGCATCACAGCGCGTGCTGCCCAGCCGCAACAGACCGGGCTATGGGGAATGGATCACTTTTCATCAAGCCTCCCGTTCCGTCCCCTCGCATGCTTTCCCCTCCCCTCCCCTCCTCATTCTCTCAGGCCCTCCAAGACGCCCATCCAGAGCACATGTTTGCAGTGCTCGCCCTCATGGCATCACAGCGCGTGTTGCCCAATCGCAACAGACCGGGCTACGGGAAAAGCATCTCTTTTCATCAGGCCTCCCGTTCCCTCCCCTCGCATGCTTTCTCCTCCCCTCTCCTCCTCATTCTCTCAGGCCCTCCAAGACGCCCATCCAGAGCACATCTTTGCAGTGCTCGCCCTCATGGCATCGCAACGCGTGCTGGTGATCCCACTCCCTTCCCCACCCTTCCCATGCCCCTCCACGTTTCCTACCCTTTCCCATGCCCGTCACCCCCTCCCCATTCCCCTCAGGCCTTACAAGACGCCCATCCAGAGCACATGTTCGCAGTGCTTGCCCTCATGGCATCACCGCGCGCGCTGCCCAATTGCAACAGCATGGCTTGTAAAGAATGAATTCATGTCGTTTGAACCTCCCCTTCACTCCCCCCTCATGCTTTCTCCTCCCCCCCCCCTCCCCTCCTCATTCCCTCAGGCATTACAAGACGCCCATCCAGAGCACATGTTGCAGTGCTAGCACTCATGGCATCAACACGAGTGCTGGTTACCCCTCTCCCCACCCTTCCCCACGCCCCTCACCCCTTCCCCATGCCACCTCCCCATCCTTCCCCACCCATCCCCACGTCTCTCAGGCGCTACAAGACGCCCATCCCGAGCACATGTTCGCTGTGCTGGCACTCATGGCGTCTCAGCGCGTGCTGGTGACCCCCACTCCCTTCCCCACCCTTCCATTGCCCCCCCTCCCCATGCTTCCCTGTGCCCCTCAGGCATTACAAGACGCCCATCCAGAGCACATGTTTGCAGTGCTGGCACTCATGGCGTCTCAGCGCGTGCTGCCCAATCGCAACAGCCTGGGTGCCATGCTGGCAGCGTGTGAGGCTGCCAACTCGCCACGTGGCGCTGCCAGGGTGTACCTCAGCGTGGTTGACACGTGGCGCGACGGGGTTGGCCGGGAGGGAAGTGGAGGCGGTGGGGGGGAGGATGGGGAGGAGTGGGAGGGAGAGGAAGGGGAGGGAGGGGGCGTGGTTGATGCGATTCTTAAGGCTGTGGAAAGATTTGGTGAGCAAGGGGAGATGCTTGTGAAAAGGGAGGAGGGGGAGGAGCAGGAGCAGGAGCAGGAGGGGGAGGTGCTGCGATATCAGCAGCAGGAAGGGCAAGAGCAACAGCAACAGAAAGAGAAGCAGCAAGAACAACAGCAGCAGAAAGAGCAAGTGAAAGAGCAAGCGCAAGAGCAAGAGCAAGAGCAACAGAAAGGGCAAGAACAAGAGAGACGACAAAACCTCATCATGGAGATGACAGAGACGGGACAGCAGCAGAAACAAGAGCCAAATCAGGAAAATCAACAGCAGGAGCAACAGCAGCAACAGCAGGGGCTGGAGCAACCGCAGCTGCTGGACTTGAAGCAGAAACAACAGCAAGAAGGCCAGCAGGAGCAGGGGCAGCAGGAGCAAGAGAAGCTGAAGCAACAACAGCAGGAAGACCAGCAGGAGCAGGGGCAGCAGGAGCAAGAGAAGCTGAAGCAACAACAGCAGGAAGACCAGCAGGAGCAGGGGCAGCAGGAGCAAGAGAAGCTGAAGCAACAACAGCAGGAAGACCAGCAGGAGCAGGGGCAGCAGGAGCAAGAGAAGCTGAAGCAACAACAGCAGGAAGACCAGCAGGAGCAGGGGCAGCAGGAGCAAGAGAAGCTGAAGCAACAACAGCAGGAAGACCAGCAGGAGCAGGGGCAGCAGGAGCAAGAGAAGCTGAAGCAACAACAGCAGGAAGACCAGCAGGAGCAGGGGCAGCAGGAGCAAGAGAAGCTGAAGCAACAACAGCAGGAAGACCAGCAGGAGCAGGGGCAGCAGGAGCAAGAGAAGCTGAAGCAACAACAGCAGGAAGACCAGCAGGAGCAGGGGCAGCAGGAGCAAGAGAAGCTGAAGCAACAACAGCAGGAAGACCAGCAGGAGCAGGGGCAGCAGGAGCAAGAGAAGCTGAAGCAACAACAGCAGGAAGACCAGCAGGAGCAGGGGCAGCAGGAGCAAGAGAAGCTGAAGCAACAACAGCAGGAAGACCAGCAGGAGCAGGGGCAGCAGGAGCAAGAGAAGCTGAAGCAACAACAGCAGGAAGACCAGCAGGAGCAGGGGCAGCAGGAGCAAGAGAAGCTGAAGCAACAACAGCAGGAAGACCAGCAGGAGCAGGGGCAGCAGGAGCAAGAGAAGCTGAAGCAACAACAGCAGGAAGACCAGCAGGAGCAGGGGCAGCAGGAGCAAGAGAAGCTGAAGCAACAACAGCAGGAAGACCAGCAGGAGCAGGGGCAGCAGGAGCAAGAGAAGCTGAAGCAACAACAGCAGGAAGACCAGCAGGAGCAGGGGCAGCAGGAGCAAGAGAAGCTGAAGCAACAACAGCAGGAAGACCAGCAGGAGCAGGGGCAGCAGGAGCAAGAGAAGCTGAAGCAACAACAGCAGGAAGACCAGCAGGAGCAGGGGCAGCAGGAGCAAGAGAAGCTGAAGCAACAACAGCAGGAAGACCAGCAGGAGCAGGGGCAGCAGGAGCAAGAGAAGCTGAAGCAACAACAGCAGGAAGACCAGCAGGAGCAGGGGCAGCAGGAGCAAGAGAAGCTGAAGCAACAACAGCAGGAAGACCAGCAGGAGCAGGGGCAGCAGGAGCAAGAGAAGCTGAAGCAACAACAGCAGGAAGACCAGCAGGAGCAGGGGCAGCAGGAGCAAGAGAAGCTGAAGCAACAACAGCAGGAAGACCAGCAGGAGCAGGGGCAGCAGGAGCAAGAGAAGCTGAAGCAACAACAGCAGGAAGACCAGCAGGAGCAGGGGCAGCAGGAGCAAGAGAAGCTGAAGCAACAACAGCAGGAAGACCAGCAGGAGCAGGGGCAGCAGGAGCAAGAGAAGCTGAAGCAACAACAGCAGGAAGACCAGCAGGAGCAGGGGCAGCAGGAGCAAGAGAAGCTGAAGCAACAACAGCAGGAAGACCAGCAGGAGCAGGGGCAGCAGGAGCCGCGGAGCGTGGGCATGGAGGGGGCGGAGTGGGTGATGAGGCTGCAGCAAGAGCGACCAGGAGAGGGGAAGCAGCAGCAGCAGAAGGAGGGACAGCAGCAGAAGCTGAAGCAGCAGCAGCTGCTGCAGCAGCAGCAGGGGCAACAGCAGGAGGAGAAGCAGCAGCAGCGGCAGAAGCAGGAGGAGAAGCAGCAGCAGAAGGAGGGACAGCAGAAGCAGAAGGAGGGACAGCAGAAGCAGAAGCAGAAGAAGGGACAGAAGCAGCAAAAGGACGAGGAGGAGGAGGAGAGGGAGGGTCAGCAGGGGCCGAGGAGCCCCAGTATGGAGATGGCGGAGAGGGTGGTGAGGCTGTGTCGTGAGGGGCTGCTGGCAGGGCAGGCCGTGAGGGTGCTGGAGGGACTGCTGGCCAATGGGATTGTGCCATCTGTCAAGTGCTACAGTGATGTTATCCATTGTGAGTCACGATGTTACAAGGTTTCAAGCCTTCAGCTTTCAGGTGCTTTTGATGTAATCAGAACCTCTCTCTCTTCCTTGAGGGAAAGATGTAAGCTTGTTTCCTTTCCTCCTTCATTTTTCTCGCCTGCCCATCCCATCAGGTCAATCGTCTCTCGGCCAATGGCAGCAAGCCCTCACCACCCTCTCCAAAGCCCTCTCCCTCAGCATCACCCCCTACTCCTCCGCCCTCCTCGCCCTCGCGCACTCTCTCGCCACCGCCGGCAAAGAGACAGAATGCTACCAAGTCCTTCGGATCTACTTCACCCATGCACGCGCCGTTGACCTAGCTGTGTTCTGGGACATGGGTTTACACGTGCTGGCAGCAGCAGGGGAAGAGGAGAGATTGGAGAAAATAGAAGGGCTGTTGGGGCCTTTTGGGTTTCAGATGGATATGGGTGTGGGTTTGGGTATCAGCATGAGTATGCTCTATCCTGCACGGCCGGTGCTGCGGTATGAAGGCCTCGGCGAGGAGTTCAGTGCAGTGACCGGGACAGCGACAGATGCAGCGCTGCTGCTGGAAGAACAGGAGCAGCAGCAGCAGCAGCAACCGTTCTCCTTTCGATGGTCCTCCGACATCCATTCTAGCGATAAGAACGATGAGAGTGATCAGAGTGGTAAGAGTGATCAGCATGCTGATAAGGCCCTTCCCTACACGTACTCCAGCGACCTCCTCCTCCTCTCCTCCCTCCTCTCCATCCAAATCGACCGCGGGAATTTCGACGAAGCCATGCACACTGCGCAGTTCATAGTCAACGAGCGCCTAGACGAGTACCTCTATAACGAGTACATGGAAGAGGACAATCGAAACAGGGATATTAGGGGAGGAGATTCCTACAGAGGGATTCAGGGAGGGAGTGTGCTGCGGAGGGCCGACCCGGCCTTTTTCCCTCTCGTGATCGGGTTTTTCCGGCTGGCGAGGCTGATTCCGGTGGTGGAGGGGAGGACGAAGCAGAATCTGTCGGTGCTGCTGCTGCTGCTCATGTCGCAGGCTGTGCGGTGCGGGGCCCCGCCGCTGGTGTCCGGGTTTCTGGTTTCTGCGTGGGCTAAGGCGAATCAGGAGGAAGGGGAGTCTCCTGTTGTGAGGGAGGAGGGGGGAGGGAGGGGAGGGAGAGGGGGAGGGCGAGGGGGAGGGGGAAGGGGACGGGGTGGGGGAGGGAGAGGAGGAGGGAAGGGGAGTGGAGTGAGGGGAGGGAAGGGGAGGAGAGCGGGGGGGGAAGGGCAGGGGCAGGGGTTTGGAGGGAGAGGGTTTGATAGTGATAAGAAGGGGTTTGAGAAGGAAAAGAAGGGGTTTGGAGGCGTGAGGAGGCCGAAACAGGTGGGGAGGGAGAAGGAGGGGGAAAGGGTGTATTTCGGGGCGGAGCAAGCAGGAGGGGTGGAGGGGTCGGGGAGTGAGGAGAGGGAGAATGGGTGTTGCTGGCCTCTGTGGAATGGGAGGGTAGCAATGGCAGTGGCAGTGGCAATGAGGGTAGCGATGGGAATGAGGGGGATACCAGCAGCAGCAGTTCCGCTAGACGGCCACGTGCTGACGTGGATTCAGACACCGCTGACGTGGATCCTAGCACTGCTGACGTGGCAGACAAGAAAACCTCCAGCAAGGAAGATGCTGACCTGGACGAGCTCGTGGACGACATCGACAGCAACGCAGACCCCGCATTTATGCACGTCCCACCGCGCATTCTCGCCGAATTCCGCTCCTTCCTCACCCTCCCGCCCTGCCCCATTGAATCCTCCCGTGCCGTTGCCAACGCCATTATTGACACGGCCTACTCCCTGCATCTTACCCAAGCGGCTGTGGACCTTTTCTACGCTGCGAATGAGGCTCGGATGTTCCCGGACCTGTTCCGATTGGAACGGGATTCGCTGGTGCTGTCTCTCAGGCTCGTGTCGCCTGCTGGGGCTGAGTTGATATCTGCCGGATTCTTCTGCCTTTGGTGCGATAAATCTGGACCGTTGCAATCGTTGATCCTGCGTCAGACCGGTCTAGATTCGCTGGATGATTTCCGGCTTGCTGAGGGCTTAAGGGACCCGATTCCGGGGTTTAGGGACCCTATGGGGGTGACCGGGGTGGGCGTGGGTGTGGGTTTAAGTCCCGAGTATGAACTGCTTGAGAATTTGTCTGAAATGGGGCGAGCGCTAGGGGGTGGAGGTGGGAGGAGTGTGGGGGGTGGTCAAGTGAAGGAGGTTAGGATTGAGATTCCTGGGGAGGATGAGAGGGTGTATGAGAGAGAGTTGGTGCGGATGGGAGTGGGGAAGGCAGTGAAGATGCTGGAAGTGCCTGGGGAGGTGGAGGAGGGGGAGGAGGCGTGGGGGTGTGTGTGGAGATGTGGGGTTGATGAAATGGAGGCATGGGGGAAGTGGTTCATGAAAAAGCAAGAAGTGGATCATTCCTGAAACCCTAGACATAAAAGAAGTGAGGGTACGGTAGCTGGATGATGGTTGGAAAGTAAATCATGAGCACAAAAAATACTTAGTGCTTAGATGGTGGTTGGTTGAATTTTAATGTGGATATTTGAGGTTCATTCATGCAAAACTTCAGCGTGAGATGATGAGACAGTTTCAACACATTTCATTACAACAGGCTTTAGGTACTCATTCCGTCTAGAAGTGCTATTACCTGTTTTAAGGATGATTAACTAGCCAATCAAGTGATGGTGAGTGAACGCTGGGCTGGGACATGCACATATATATACGCATATATCTCATACGATTTGAACAAGCTCAATGTCACAAACGGGACACTCACAAAACGACCTTTCAGCGCCAAATGGCAGCACGTCATCACCTCGGGTCCAGTTTTGGATGACTCACCGCCAGTCACTTTTCTGACACGTCATCCCTCTGAGCCAGACCCTATGTCCCTTCTCAATAACAGAACTTTTCCTCAGGCTGCTGATAATTACCACTCTGTAGCGCGCGTCACCGTTTTGCAACCTTTTGAAACGTATCGTAACCCACAATAGCTTCTTACACTTAGTAGAGCCCAATTCTACTTCCCTATCCTCCCCCACTTCCCACACTATTACATCGCGTGTCACCTAGCGTTGACCTAGCTAAGTGACCAGTCTTTTCATTCTCAGTACCCTGAGAAATAGGCAGCCATGGCAGCTGTCACATCTCAAGTAGCGTTCCCCGCAGCCTACACAGCGGCGCCTGCCGCCCGCGCTGCAGCGTGCTCCGCGCGCGTTTCCCTCCGCACACCTTCCTTCTCCGCGCAAGCCCTCCCCGCGGTGCGCGCATTCCCTGCGCGGGCGGAGCGCGTCGTCGCCCCGCGCGCAGCGGTGGCGGAGGCGGGGAGCGAGGCGGCGGCGGAGGAGCCTAAGAAGGTGAAGGTGCTGTCCGTCAAGGAGGGCAAGCAACGGCTGCTCCTTAAATTCGTCTGGCTCGGTGCGTCCGCATTTCACGCTCCGGGGCCTCTAGGCCAAAGGGTCACTTAGGGTTATCGATATTCCGTGATAGTCGGAAGAGAAGCCAGGAACAGGCGGATGAGAGAACTAGGGTTCCGGGTTTACATTGTTAGCACTGCAGCTGCATCTTGGTGGTTTCATTCTTCCCACACTGCCCTTTCCTTTCCTGACGCGCAAGAACCGGTGCCGATGTTTTCAGCCGGTGTAAGCTGTTTATCCCGTCCTGTCGCGCTCCGATCTCGCCGCCAGACTCGTTATCGCGGCGAGCTGAAGCTAGAATTTGAAAAGGTAAAGGTAATCCTACAACGTGAATTATCCGTTGGTAATATTACATTACGGATAACCTGCGAGCTGCTCTGTGGTTGCTCTCCAGTAGCTCGTTCGGTGTGACGTTCGCAATGGGGACGACTCATGCACGATCTCGGGCTTGCGACGTTCACGAAGCCAAGCTCTTTTATTGATCAACGGCGCACGTGGTTGCTTCAAGTGATGCGAAGTCTAGGCGATTTTGAGTCGGCTCAAACGATGGACCAGAACGTTGCATTGCATCGGATTGTGGGATTCATCCGAGAAAGCCAGACTCCCATTGAGATTCGTCAGCTCCTTCATTTCGTTATCAGTTGGAGATTACTAGCACAAGGAGAGCTGTGCTTTATTTGGGACGAGGACGCAGTACCATGGCTACACAAAAGGTCACGCTGATGCGGATGCCTGCATGGCTTGAAGTCTCCTCAGTACTGCGAAGGCTACACAAAAAGTCTCCTCAGATTCGTCTTTAACGAATCTGCGAATGCGAATGTCGGTACTTTTTCGCTGGGCGTTCCTATCGGCCGTATGCGTATATGCGGACATAGCTGTAATCGTCGGCGTGGGTCGAAGTACAGGCAGCCAGGCGCTTATGTGTGTGGTGGTTGGGCGATCCTGCTAGTGTCTGCAAATCATTGCTGACTGTTACCCTGCTGACCACGAGACGTTTTTGTTTACTCATGAATCTCATCTCCCATTTTTCTATGGTGGAAATTGTTCTTGGGGCCCCATTCCCAGTGGTCTCACCGCTGCTTCTCATCACTCACAGCTCTGTCTTGTGAAGCTCTTTCTCCACGCCACCCTTGTGATCCTTTTTTCTTTCCCCTTATTCCTATTCCCTGCTCGTTAATTTCTTGCTTCCTTCCCCTTGTGCTTCCGCCCTCCCAAAGACCAGCACTAGGATGGCCAAGAAGAACAGCATGAATTTCCTCCATTTCCATCAATGCTCACTTTCCTCTCGTTTTCCACTTCATTTTTACGATTTTCAGAGAAGAACATTGGGATTGCTGTGGACCAGATGATTCCCGGGCAGGGCACCGTTCCAGTCAGCTCGTACATGTTCTGGCCGCGCAAGGACGCGTGGGAGGAGCTTAGGGAGCTGCTGGAGAGCAAGCCGTGGCTGTCGCGCAAGCGGGTGATCATTCTCCTCAACCAGGCCACTGATATCATCAACCTCTGGCAGCAAACCACCTTCAAGCCCTGAAAGGATGAGTTAGGGTTTAGGTGGATGTTCAATGTACAATGTATGGTGTGGATTCATGAAGGTGGTTGTGCAAAGCAAAAAGCAGGATTTTACACAGAATGCTGAGAAACATGAAGCTGAAGCTGCTGAAGATCAAGCAGTGGCTGCTATACTGTCTGACAGCAAACCACTTGGCCTCTAAAGGTGTAGAAGCAGGAGTTTCTTATTGCGGAGAAACACTTATTAAATCATTTTTTGGAAAGTTCATTGTACGGTATACAAGCTGCCCTTCTATGTTGCTGGCCATGCTTCTGTCGCCTTTTACCAATGTTACCGAAAAATGCTAACGCGTATGTCATTGCTTGATCATCTCTCAACCCGTTGCTCTGCCTCCACTCTCCCTGCTTCCCTCACCCTTCGCTGACTCCTTATGCGCCGTATTCCGCGTGTATGGCCTTCGTATCGTAAACACGTAGCAGAAGTCATTAGTAGAAGCATTTCTCGAGGTGTCTCACTTAGTCGTCGCATGGCCTCTCCTCTCCTCCGCCCTTCGCGCGTGTCCCTCCTCCCCTCCTCTCGCGCAGCTTTCAGCTTCGCATTCTGTCGCACTCTGTCGCATACCATCGCCTTCCGTCACGCGCAACTCCTTCCCAGTCGCTCGCGTCAGTTTCCTCCTTCGCGCTCGCTTCGCTGCTCGCTCCGCTGGTCCGCAATTTCTCCACCTGCTCTGCATTCCGCTGCGCGCCAATCCCCACAGCTTCCGCACTCCCCTACGCCGGGACTCCTGCGCCCTCGCGCGCAAATCGCTGCGCGCCAAGCCGCAATGGTCAGTGAGGACGGGACAATCGCAAATGTGACTGTTCAAAGCGAGACACTTGGAGATCAGGCTAACGGCGAGCTAAATCAAGATAACAGAATGGACCATCAACAGCAGGGAGAGGAACAGGATCAGGACCAGCAGCCGAATTCATTTCCCAGCGAGTTTCTAAAGTTTCTGGAGGAGAATGGGATCGACCCGAGCATCTACAGCCGCCACGCCGACCTCCCCAGATACATCAGGCAAGCATAAGTTTTAGGCCCGTCTAAAGTCGTCACTTTACCCGTAACTGCTTTTGAGGCGCCTCAAAGTCGATCCGAGCATCTACAGCCGCCACGCCGACCTCCCCAGATACATCAGGCAAGCATAAGTTTTAGGCCCGTCTAAAGTCGTCACTTTACCCGTAACTGCTTTTGAGGCGCCTCAAAGTCGATCCGAGCATCTACAGCCGCCACGCCGACCTGCCCAGATACATCAGGCAAGTGGGTAGCTCATTCAAGCAGAGGTGGACGAGGTGAAGGAGGAGGTTGTTGCATGGCTGCTGAGGAGAGGAGGAAACCCATCTTCTCCCTCCCTCCCCCCCTGCCAGGCTGCGAGGGGGGGAGCTGAGTGAAGCAGAGGTGGACGAGGTGAAGGAGGAGGTTGTTGCATGGCTGCTGAGGAGGACAGGAACCCCAACCGAACCTTTTTCTCGTCTTTCATTTGCTCCCTCCCTCCCATTCTGCCAGGCTGCGAGGGGGGGAGCTGAGTGAAGCAGAGGCGGACGAGGTGAAGGAGGGGGGAGATTGCAGGGCTGTTGAGGAAAGGAGGAACCCTAACCGCCTCTGCTTCTTCTCGTGTGTGATTTCCTGCCTCCCTTCCTTTCCTGCCAGGCTGCGAGGGGGGCTGAGTGAAGCAGAGGTGGAAGAAGTGAAGAGCGAGCTTGCAGGGCTGCTGAGGAGACGCGGAATTCCTACCGCTCCTGTTTAGGCCGCTCCTCTTTAATCTCCTTCCTCCCTTTCTTCCGTTTTGCCAGGCTCCGAGGGGGGCTGAGTGAAGCAGAGGTGGAAGAAGTGAAGGAGGAGATTTCAGGGCTGCTGCTGGGGAGAGGAGGAACCCCGATTGCCGCTGCTGTGGGGCTGCTGAGGAGAGCAGCAGCCGCAACCAAACTCGCTTCTTCTCTTCCTTCCTCTCCCTCCCCCTTCTGCCAGGCTGCGAGGGGGGCTGAGTGAAGCAGAGGTGGAAGAAGTGAAGGAGGAGATTTCAGGGCTGCTGCTGGGGAGAGGAGGAATACCAGCAGCAGGCATGGTGGCAGTACCATGGCTGAAGGGGTTCTTCTCTCTCCCAGGAGAATTCAACATTTCAGGCACCAGCGCGTATAAGAGAGGCCAGGTGAGAATTCAGGTGCAGTGCTTTCTTGAGATTCTTCCAGCAGCAGTGTTGCTATTTCTTTGGAGATTTCAATATTCCAGACACCCTGGCGTACAGGAAGGAAGGCACGGGCGAGAATTCATGTGTTTCTGCAGCAATCGGAAAAACAGTGTGAGTTTTTCATGTTACATGACTTAGCTGTTTTTGATATGTTAACAAGAAACATTAATAAAAAAGGTAAAATTTTTGGAGGTGGGACCAGCAGCCGGGTTCTTAATTGGCACAGGGAAGAGATGGAATGGAAGTTATGGAGATAGGTTGTGAAAATATATCAAAGGAGATATGGTAGTGAGAAAACATTAAAGAGAGAAAGTCACAATATGCAGTAACTTTGTCATGTCTCTGCAATAAAGTTGGGAGTATGCGAGGTGACTTTTGAGTCGACTCAAAAGTACTCTCAAACAAACTCGGACCCTGTTTCCTCTGCCTCACTTCAGTTTTCACTATCCCTCCTCCAGATATTCGGCATGGATGCAGCATCAGGGGCGGCAGTGGCAGCGCTGCAGCTGTCCCCTTCAGATCACGTCCTTGACCTCTGTGCTGCCCCGGGTGAGATTTCTATTCAGTTTTGTTTCGTTGTGTTATGTTTTGTTTCTCTTTCTTGTGACCTTCATCATCCAGTACTTGCATCCCTTCCTTCCGCTCGTATTCACTTTTGAGTAATTCTCATTAAGTGATGCTTCTTTGTTAGTTCTCTAACTCCTCCCAAATGCGTGCATTAGAGACACCTTCCCTTTGTTCTCCTCAAATCCTCGTCTTCCTAGAATGAAACCCCCTCCTCAAATCCTCGTCTTCTTAGGAGATGCTTTCTAATACCACCCAAGAATGAAACGCCCTCTGCCCCTTATTTCTGTCTATCTCCCCTCTCTCTCTCCCCTGTCTGAGGGTGCGGGTTCTTGCTTGCTGGGTGCTATGCACTAGGCAGGCGCCAAGCTCTGCGTGATTGTAGATGAGCTCAAACCCGCCTTCCCTTGGCTAGATCTCTCTCAAGCGCACCCCACCTAGGTGAACGAAGAGACGCATGGGACGCATGGGACGCATGGGAGATGCCTCCTTCCCATCATCCTTGCTGAACCCCACCTATGTCTAAAACCGTCCTATGTCTCGACTCTCTCCTTCCTTCTCCCCACTCCCTGCCTGTCTGGCACTGTTGATTTTTGCTTGCTGCATGCATGGCTCCTTTCAGGCGCCAAGCTGTGCTTGATCCTGGATGAGCTCAGGGCCTCCTAGGCTGCAGCACTGCCAGCTTCACCACAGTATGTTTTTTGAGAATTCTCAAAAAACATACCCTGTCTCTGTTATTTTTTGCTTGCTGCATGCCTGGCCCCTTTCAGGCGCCAAGCTGTGCTTGATCCTGGATGAGCTCAGTGCCTCCGAGGCTGCAGCACTGCCAGCTTCACCACAGGCGGTGACACAATCCCCGCTACAATCCTCCTCATTACCGGCACAATCGTCATTACCACCACAATCCTCATTACCACCACAACCCTCTGTGACGGCAGCAGCACAAGACACTTTTGAGAATTCTCACAACGCAACAGCAGATGAGGCATCTCTTGAGAATCCAAGTGGAACGGCAAAAGCAGCAGCCATGAGCACCACAGTATCAGGCAGTTCACCCGGCGCACCCACTGCAACAGGCACAAGCACAGTAACAGGCACAGTGACAGCAGTTGACGTCTCCCCGGCCCGCCTGGCTGCCTGTCGCACGCTGCTGCAGAAGCACCGGCTGACTGACAGGTGCCGGCTGTTCCTAGGAGACGCTACTGCTTTCCGCCTTGGGCCTCCTGTGGCAAAGCGAGGGATGGAAGTGGGATCAGGGCTAGAAGTTGGATCAGCTAAGCCTCGTGGCACTGAGCTGGAGCAATTATTGCCACGCGTTGCTGTGGGAGAGGCTAGAGCAGTGATGGACGAAAGGGAAGTGATGGGTAATAGCGCAGTGATTGTTGGTGGTAGTAGTAGTGAGGGGATTTCAGAGCCAAGGGACGTGGAGGAGACTGCAGGGCTGTGGAAGCAGGCAGGAAGAGAGGGGCAGGATGGAGAGGAGGGAGCGGAGGGAGAAGAGAAAGAGGAGGGAGAGGAGAGGGAGGAGGGAGAGGAGAGAGAGGAGAGGGAAGGAGAGCAGCAAGAGGGAGAGGGAGTGAGGAGGAGAAAGCGGACGAGGAAGGAGAGGAGGAGAGCAAAGCATCTCCGCATGTTTGAATCAGCTTGTCACGACAGTGTAGCTGCTGCAGCTGATGATGGTCATGATGCGACTGCTGCTGCTACAGCTGGTGCTGCTGCTACAACCACGATGACAGCATCGCCGGCATCAGAAGCAGACGGGGCAGCGGCAGCATCTGAATGGAAGAGAGGGGACCGGCCGGAGCTCTTCTTTGTTGGGCGGACAGCGTGGCAATGGTGGGACACGGGTGTTGAATGCGGCAAGGATGGGTATGATAAGGTGAGGAAGGAGAAAATTGAAGGACCCTGAAACCTGAGGAAGCAGAAAATCAAAGGGCCCTGAAACCTGAGGAAGCAGAAAATCAAAGGGCCCTGAAACCTCTTGTGTCAAACGTCGACCACCACATCAGCTGCTAACGTCGACGGCTTTCTGAAGCATTTTCTTGAGAATATTACGTCTCTTTCATGTCAAACCTCTATTGTGTCAAACCTCTATTGTGTCAAACCTCTTTTGTGTCAAACCTCTATTGTGTCAAACCTCTATTGTGTCAAACCTCTTTTGTGTCAAACCTCTATTGTGTCAAACCTCTTTTGTGTCAAACCTCTATTGTGTCAAACCTCTATTGTGTCAAACATCTTTTGTGTCAAACCTCTATTGTGTCAAACCTCTATTGTGTCAAACCTCTTTTGTGTCAAACCTCTATTGTGTCAAACCTCTATTGTGTCAAACCTCTTTTGTGTCAAACCTCTATTGTGTCAAACCTCTTTTGTGTCAAACCTCTATTGTGTCAAACCTCTTTTGTGTCAAACCTCTTTTGTGTCAAACCTCTATTGTGTCAAACCTCTTTTGTGTCAAACCTCTTTTGTGTCAAACCTCTTTTGTGTCACGCCTCCCTTACGTCACACATCAGGTGCTGGTAGACGCAGAGTGCACACACGACGGCTCTCTGAAGCAAGGCTGTTGAGGATAATCACAGTTTCTTTTGTGTCACACACACCTGTCACACCTCTCCACTGTCACTCGTCAGGTGCTGGTAAATGCACTGTGCACGCACGACGGCTCACTGAAGCAAGCCTGTTGAGAGGATAATCACAATTCTTTTGTGTCACACCTCTCCACTGTCACACACCAGGTGCTGGTAGACGCAGAGTGCACACACGACGGCTCGCTGAAGCACATACTCAAGTATGACTCGTGGGGATGGCACACTCTCAACAAGCGGTTTCTAGATCCCCAAAGACTCAACTCCCTGGCGGCGTTGCAGGTGAGAGCATGTCCGCTTTGCAATGCGGTAACCATCACCATCTCCCCACCAAAGCACATACTCAAGTACGACTCGTGGGGATGGCACACCCTCAACAAGCGATTCCTGGACCCCCAGCGGGTCAACTCGCTCGCAGCACTGCAGGTGAGAGCATGTCCGCACATATCAGCCTTCTTTTCACCGGTGAGCAGTATACATTCGGCTGCAATCCACAGTCGGCATTCATTTGACTAAAGCACATTCTCAAGTACGACTCGTGGGAACGGCACACTCTGAACAAGCGGTTCCTCCAGGTACCTGACTGACCCCCAGGTGCTCAAATTGCTTGCAGCACTGCAGGTGAGATATGTGCAGGATTGCACATATTTCATCTCAATCCACCGGCATATCTCACTGCAGGTAAGATATGTGCACATATCTCACCTGACTGAATCCACCGGATTGCTATGTGCCTCTCTTGCTCACCCGCTTCCCTTTCTCTTCCCTCTCCCCGCTCTTCACCCTCTCTCTTCCCTTGCTGCAGCGATCTCTTCTAGAGACAGGCTTCTTGCTGTTGAAGCCTGGCGGGAGGCTGGTGTACTCTACATGCAGGTGAGAGACTGAAATGTACAAGTACATGTATATGTATATATGTATATATGTATATATCTATATATGTATATATGTATATATGTATATATGTATATATGTATATATGTATATATGTATACATGTATATATGTATATATGTATATATGCATATATATTTGTCTAGTCTTATAGTCGAAACCACGAGGGAGGCTGGTGTACTCGACGTGCAGGTGAGACTGTACTGTACAAGAATATGTATATGTACATTGATGATTCACTTATATAACTAAATTAACGAGGGAGGCTTCTTAACTTGGCGTACAGGACGCCGTTGTGAGATGGTTTCTGAGACGTCTCAAAAGTATACGACTTTTGAGACGTCTCAAAAGTTGCAGGAGGTTGTTGTGAGATGGTTTCTAGACAGCCACTCCTGTTATGCTTGCCTCGACTTGAACCAAATACTATGTTATACCTTCCCTGTCCTCTCTTTCCTCTCTCTGCAACTCCCCACCTCCCAACCGCACACACTCACAAAACGAAGACGTTGTGAGACGTTGCCTCCCTTTTCCCCCTCTTTGTTTTGCACGTCTTTGATTCGAACTAAATACTCCTTTTCGTTCCTGTCCTCCCTTTCCCCCTCTCTGACTTTCCCCACCTCCCAGCCTCACGGTCACACAAAACGAGGACGTGGTGAGACGGTTTCTGGACAGACACTCGCATGATGCAGGTCAGTGCTCCCACCATCCATCGCCCTTCCGCCATGATTCCTTGTTCCCCATCGTAATGTGAAGCCGCTTGCTTATGATGTGCAGCTATCATCGGTGCACCATGCACCTTCCTTCTCCCACCATCCCACTGCTCCCACCTTCGTCTTCGTTCATGTTGATTCTTTATCTCTTAACGTGTAGCTGTCTGCTATCTTTGTTCAGCTATCATCAGTGCAATATACATCACCCTCTTACCACCATCCCACTGCTCCCACCATCGCCTTCGTTCATGTTGATTCTTTCTCCTCTCGTTGTGTTTGCACTTGCTGTGTCATGTACCTCCCATCATTGCACATCCCTTCGTGTCTTACTGTAATTTCCATACTTGTTATTGATTTTGGAAAGCACGTTGCTCCCATTATGAGACCTTTCAAATATCGCTGTTAGCCATTGCCTGTGCAACCTTCTTGCCATCACTCCAACCATGGTTCTATGCGTCTATTTTCAGAATTCTCCCTTTTTCTACCAAACCTTGTTCCACAGATTTGATACAAGTCGAGGAGGCTAAGGGCTGGCCCTGCAGACCTGGTGGTATACCACACACCCTCAGATTCGACCCTCCCACTTCCAACACGAATGCACTATTTATTGCACTGTTCACCAAGAGAGATTTGAACCAAGGCCCGTAATGTTGCAGATACTACTACTGATGTACGTAGTTTCTTGCCATTTGTAGGTGCCTTTCACTTGGCTGGTTGAGGAAAAGTTTCACTCCTTGGAAAAAACATCTGATGTACAATGCACGATGGTTCACATTATAGCACAGCTGTATGCATGATACATCATCAATTGTGTGCCATGGTATGGTAACCATGTAACTGTAATTTAGTCCTCCATCCACCAGGGCTCCTCGCCAGTCCGGAAGTCCGTCTCAGTCCACGTGGAAAAGACAACCTTGCCGCCCACCACGTTGGTATGCTCGAGGGCCAGCGACTGAGTGGGAGGGGGGTGAGAACGAATGAGGGACGAATGGAGAACAGAAGAGGAGGCATTGAGTTATCCACGTGGAAAATACAACCTTGCAGTACACCACATTGGCATGCTCGAGAGCAGGAGACTGAGTGGGAGGGGGGTGAGAACGACTAAGGGGAAAGAGAGGCCGGCGGGAGGAGAGGGGAAGGGGAGAGAAGAAAGGCAGTGGACCAGTCCACGTGGAAAAGGCATGTTGCCTCCCACCACTTGTTGGCATGCTAGGAAAAAGAAGACAAGAAAAGGGAGCATTGGTTCAGTCTATATGGAGAAACCACCTTGACCACATGGAAGAAAGAAAAGGCGAGGGAAAGAGAACGAAGAAAGGGACAGAGAAACGAGAAGTATCATCCATCGTACCATGTGTAACGAGAAAGGGAAACGAAGAGGATGAAGACAAACAGAAAGGATTATTAGAACCACTATGCCAATATATCCTTCATTCTCAAACAGAACAAAGCTTAATAACAAGGATAAACGCACCAGAGGAGCCGGGCCCTGCACGACCATGCCCTGGTTGTTGTACTGGGAGCCATGGCAGGGGCACATGAACTTGTTCTCCTCCGCCACCCACGGCACCACACACCCCATGTGCGTGCAGATGGCGTTGATGGCAAAGTTGCCGAGCGAGCCATCGTCATTCACCACGATGTAAGCCGGCTCGTCCTGGGGTACAGCAGAGTGGAGAGAGGGAGGGAGGGGAGAGAGGGAGAGAAATCAAGAGAGGAATAAGGCTTCACACAAAAGCATGTCAGATTGCAGTGATGGCAAAGTTACCGAGTGTGCCGTCGTTATTCACCACGATGTAAGCCGGCTCGTCCTGCAGGAGAGGAAGAGGGGGAGAGAAATAGAGAAAGAGAGATAGAGAGGGAGAAGGAGAGACAGAACGAGTCAGATGGAGTTGATTACAAAGTTGCCGAGTGGATAAGATTGGAGAAAGCCGGCTCATCCTGGAGTGGATAAGATTGGAGAAAGGGGGAAAAAATATGACACATGAAAGCATGTCAGATGGGAACCTAAGGGAAAAGCAATGAAGAACCTTGCTACTTGTAGATGGAGAATATACAAGTGTCCTGCACGAGATCTGCAGCTTACATCGAGGCCCTGGACGAGCGTCCTGTCGCCACCCTTGTGCGTGGCAAGCCAGTTATCCGCCATCACCACCTTTCCGCTCAGATCCTTCGCCACTAGCTCGTCCGCCGAGCTGCAAACACATGTATAAACGTTACACGTGTAAGTAAGCAGCAAAAAATAATGGAGGAGCTTTTTAATGTGAAACTTGTATATTAACGTGTGGTGACGAGTGTGGTACCTGGCAGGGGCGAAGGAGAGGAAACCAGCGGCAGACGCGGGCACAGCAGCGCCGAGAACGAGAGCTGCCTTGAGGACTTCCCGGCGGCTGACATCATCAGAGGATGTGCTCTCGCTGCTGGCCTTCACAGACACTGCAGCGCGTTTTGCAGAGAGCTTGACGGTGCGGCTGCTGGATTGGGCGACGCTGAGCCTTTTCCCAGCAAAGGTGTTGACGGAAGAGACCTGAGATAAGGGAGGGTGTCAAATCAACAGAAACTGCTATGAGAGATTGTTAAAAACTTGGAGTCTGAACATTGTGACAGTGAACCCTGGCTGAACATACCTGAATGCTGGATGAGAGAGCGGAGACTGAAGCCATGGTCCCGTTCAGAGATCCACCAGAAGCAGGGGCAGGATGAGACGGCTGTACGATTTGGCTGTTTGCTTAGTTCTGCTGGATGGTTGTTACTCAGATTTGCCTGTAATTTTATACCTTCAAATTCGATTCAGGCTGACATCTGAAGATGATGATGAAGGCGAAGCAAATCCAAACCAGCACGAACCGCGATTGCACAAATTTCCGTAGCCCCCGCGGCGCGGATGTGTACGAAGAGCATCGTACAATTTCTGGGGAATCCGATGGGAGGTGGCGCTGCCACGTAGGATGAGTGCAAGGGTTGTTGGTGAACTCGTACGCAGCGTGAGTTGCGGTGAACGATTGTGTGGGCAGATCGTACGCTCCTGGCAATGCCAGCATTTCGCCATAATGCACTCTCTGGATATCTGTAGCATATGGTAGTTAAATTCACTAATTGTCTCTAATTATAACATACAAACTGGACTTTGCACACATACAGCTTACCGTAATAATAGTTGATACACATTCCATATGCAGATAAACCGAATTTATGTTTTATGTGCAGATTAAAGCTAGGCGTGATTAGCACTGGTTATTTCAGTTGAACCCCAATCTTAGACTGCATAGCATATAGAACCTATGCTTATTCAGGCCTCTAAGGTATAGATGTCTTGTGCGGGTTATACATATTGAAGGTTAGAGGCGACAGAGTGAGGATCGAGTGTACCACGCAGGAATGTTACTAATGTTACTGAATCAAATCAAGTGTGTGGCAAGCGTGTTCATATCTTTTTGTGAGGCGATTTCGTGTGTTTTTCGTTTCAGGTTCCCTTTCAGTTTATGTTTCAAGCTGGTAAACAAAGGGGTCGAACGACAACGTACCTTTCAGTTTATGTTTATGTACGCCATGGTACACGGAACGCGTCACCTTGCCTTTCGGAAACCAGAACCTCTGGTTCATATAATCGCGCCCTCGTGACGCACTGGTCTTGCTCACAGATCCATTTCCAAGGCTCTCGGGATCCAATGCATCTAATCTCTTGGTTCAAAACAAGAGTCACTAGACTGTGTTTGGTCAGTTGGCGAGCTTGCCTCGGTATTGTCCCTATTTTTAGAACCGAGGAAGCTCCTGCCTTAGGAGACTAGGGCTAACTAGAGCCACGAGTCGTTAGGCGACTCCGCTGTCCTTTTTAGGACTAGTCGGGATAACTTACCCACTAATCCTGCGCGACACGTGCCTGTCTGGCATCAATCCCAATTGTACGGCTTTTCGAGATTCGAAGAAATAATACGATACTTAGTCCTGGGTACATGGTAGAATAATTGCGTTGAAGAAGTAGTCAGCATTTTCCCGTATTCGTCCTGCATTGCAACGATCTCTCGCTTTCGTCCAATTTCGGTCCAGATTTTCCGGTCATGGAGGCCCCGGCAGTTTCGCGGCATCAGAAGCTCGTAACGGACGTTCTTTCGTGGGTGTTCAATGTCGTTACATCTGTCGGTATCATCGTGGTCAACAAGTACCTCATGACACATTACAACTTCCAATTCGGTGCGATCCCCTAACCATGCACGCTTTTGGCCTCACGGGAGCGAACGAGACGCTTGTAACGCGTATACGCAGTTGTATTGCACCGATCC